GTTCAGTGCAGTACATGCTGTACAGGTTTGTAGATGGCCTGTACCACTTGGCCTGGGTGTGTGTAGTAAACTATATTGTCTAGGTTTGACTAAATATTTCCGGGATGTTCACATGCTGAATCTCCTGATGACACAGTTCTCAGAATGCCTTCTAGTTATTAAGCAATGAATGACTGTATTAAATTTTGGAGTGGTTTGTTATGCAACAGTAGATAACTACAACATACTCACAATCCTGCCATCTTGGAAATAACTATTATTAACATTTTGGTTTTCCTGTACATATGTGTTCTTTTTTAATTTTTTTTGGAGAGGTGTTTGCTATAGGGCGCATGTGCTCTTCAGAAAGACAGAGAGAGACAGAGAGATAGAAAGCGAGAATTCACCCCCCAGGAGGGATGGCCATTCCACAATCCCTTCTTCCCCATTCTCCTCTCAGGATCTTGGGCACGCACGCACATGCGCCCGGCATGAGTTTAAGGTCCAGAACTCTAACCACGGTTGGCTACATAGGAGTTCAGCGACATAGCCATTATGCCAACTGCTGGTTCCATATACGTTCTTTTTTAAAAAAGGGTTATTTAATTTTATTTATCATGGGGGACCAGCAGTTGACGTAATGGCTATGTTGCTGGACTCCCATGTAGTCAACCATAGTTCGAGTCCCGGCCTGGTGGCTTAAACTCATGCCGGGCGGGTGTGCATGTGTGCCCAAGATCCCAAGACAAGAATGGAAGAAAAGTGATTGCGGTATGGTCATCCCCACTGGGGAATAATTTCTTGCTTTCTGTCTCTGTCTCTATCTTTCTGGTGAGCACACGCGCCCTATAGCAAAAACCTCTCCAAAAAAAAATTTCTTTATCATTATTATTAAATCTTGCTACAGGGTACGTGTGCTTACCAGAGAGAGACAGAGAGAGATGGACAGTGAGAAAGCAAGCCACCAGATCTGGGACTCAAACTGTGGTTGGCTATTTGGGAGTCTCACACCTTAACCACCACACCACTACCTACTGACCTTAAACAAATTATTTTTAAATAAGAGGTACGCAATGTTTTTGTTTCTTCCCCTCCCCCATCATCAAACATTCATTTCTTTTTCTTTTTTTTAAAAAAAAGATTTAATTTTATTTATTATTATTACTTCTTTATTTTTATTTAATTATTTTATTTATTTGGAGAGGGTTTTGCTAAAGGGTGTATGCACTTGCCAGAAAGATAGAGAGAGACAGAGAGACAGAAAGTGAGAAATCACCCCCCCACAGGGGGATGGCCACGTCGTAACCCCTTCTCCTTCAGTCTCCTCTCAGGATCTTGGACATGCACGTACATGCATCCAGTGTGAGTTTAAGTCACTGTGTGGGACTTGAACCGCAGTCGACTACGTGGGAGCCCAGTGACATAGCCATTAACTGCTGGTCCTTTTAATTTTTAAGTTTTATTTTAATTCAAGTTTATTTATACATTCAATCGTGTTATTTAGCTTGCAAAATTAATATTCCACCATGTACATTTCTCGCCAGTCCAGTTGATAATACTATAAAATTTTCTTCTACAGATTATACCCCTTTTATATCATTCAGTTTTGGTCATAGAGTGCGGACACTTGGTATGTATTAAGTGGAGACATACAATGTCTCTCCTTCATAGCCTGGCTTGCTTCACTCAGCAGTAAATCTTTCATATTCATCCACTTTCTGTCAAAAGCCAGGGTTTTGTTGAGTTTGAGTTTGTTTTTTATGGCTGAGTAGTATTCCATAGAGTATATGTGCCACAGTTTTTCAATCTGTTCATCTGTTCATAGGGATTTGGGTTGGCTCCATGTCTTAGCAATTGTGAATAATGCTGCAATAAACATCGATGTGCAAGCACTTTTCCGATTAAGAATTCTTCTGTCCTTTGGGTAGATACCAAGGAGTGGGATTGCTGGGTCATATGGTAGTTCTATTTGTAGATTTTTCAGGAATCTCCAAATTGTTCTCCACAGTGGCTGGACCAGTTTATATTCCCACCAACAGTGTAAGAGAGTTCCCCTTTCACCACACCCCTGTCAGCACTTATCATTTATTATTATTACTATTTTTTATCTTAGTCAGTCTGATTGGAGTTAGGTGGTATCTTATTGTTGTTTTGATCTGCATTTCCCTTAAAATGAGAGATGTTGAGCATTTTTTCATATACCTTTTGGCTATTCATATGTCATCCTTAGAGAGTGTTTTTTTCAACTCATTCTCCCATCTTTTAATAGGGTTGATCTTTTTCTCTGGACAGCTGCTTGAGTTCCTTGTGTATTCTGGTTATCAGTTCCTTATCTGACACAAATATTTACAAAATAGTTTCCCATCCTGAGGGCTGTCAATTCACACTAATTACTGTGTCTTTTGCCATGCAAAAACTTCTTAGTCTGATGTAATCCAATTTATCTATTTTGGGGATTATCAACTGTGCTTTGGGGGGGTCTTATTGAAGAAGTCTTTGCGTACCCCAATGTCTCCCAGAGTTTCCCCATTGTTTTCCAGCAGCAGTTTTATACTTTGAGGTCTTAGTTTTAGATCTTTGATCCACCTTGAGTTGATTTTTGTTAATGGCGAGAGGTAGGGGTTCAAATTTATCTTTCTGCAGGTGAATATCCGGTTTTTCCAGCACCATTTCCTGAAGAGGCTTTCCTTTTCCCACTGGATTGACTGGTACTCTTTGTCAAAAATCAGCTGACTGTATATGAATTTATTTCTGGGGACTCTATTCTGTTCCATTGGTCCACCTGTCTGTTTCTGCCAGTACACATTCATTTCTATCTGGTTGTTATGAAAGTAGAACTAGCTGCAGAAGAAAATGTGCTGAGAAAGAGTGAAAAAGAACATCACTGGTGGCCCAGCCTGGTGCAGTGGGTAGTAAACTGAACAACAGTGCTAGCAGCCACGTGGCCAACTGTGGGGCAGATCCCTAGGTCAGCCTGAAAACATGCCGGGCAGGCTTGCGCCCGAGATACCGATGGGCTGGAGGTCTGGGGAGACGGGATCGCAGTGTGACAGGAACCTGCTAAGTACTCTTTTCTTTCTCTCCTTTCTCATGTGTAAACACATGCTATCAAGAATAAAATTTAAAAAATCATCAATTTGGGCACATTAGCAGTCACATACAAGCTGTAGTTTGATATTCTACATATTCTGTGAAAGTATTTTCCTGTGTATTTGAAAATGGAATTAGAAGTAACTATAAACAGGGGCCAGCAGGTGGTGTGGTGTTAAGGGTCCTGGACTCCCACGTGGCCAACCACAGTTCAAGTCCCAGACCTAGTGACTTGCTTTCTCACTTTCCCTTTCTCGCGCTCTCCCTCTCTGGCAAAATTAAAATAAATAAATTAAGTTAAATAAAATAATTTTTTTTCTTAAAAGAAGTAACTGTTACAATGAAATGTAGGAATATATCAGACTGCAAAATCATTTTACTATTCTGTCATTGGATGTTCAGTTTTTCACTATTAAAAACAATATTGCCATGAGAAAGTGGAAGACTATGGAAGATTTACTGCTGAGTGAAGGAAGCCAGGCTATGAAGCAGAGACATTGCATATCCCCACTTAATATATACCGAGTGTCTGCACTCTATGACTGAAGCTGATTGACTAAAGGTTGTACAAACACAAGAGATGGGGGTGAATGCCAGATGTGGTGTGTATGTGGAGGAGTGGGACTTAAGGAAGGCCATTCGGAGGAGGGTTACGGAGGCAGAGCCTTGACGGGATGGGGAGGTGTGGTGTTAGCGGTTGAAGATATTTTGATCAACTGGACTGGGGAGACATGTTCACATATTGAAATACTCACTTTGTAAGCCAAATAATGTGATTGAATGTATATAAAAAATTTAAAAAAAAATAAATAGGAAAAAAAACCAAGTTTATACTTACTTCTTTGATTGTACTTAGCGGTTTCATGGGATAAATTCTTAGAAATTGAAATCCGCAAGCCTAGATGGTATATCAACTCACCCAGCCACGTGTTGTTGAATAAGCAGCATGCATTCTGAGAACTGTATATCAGGTGATTTGGTTGCTGAGAGAGCACCAGTGTCACTTACAAAACCTGATCATACAGCCTCCTACGTACACACCTGGCTTTGTGGTACAGCCATGTGCTCCTAACCCGTACAGCATGTTACTCGACTGGATACTGTAGGCAACTATCGGGTCATCGGGGAAGTCATGAAGCATTTTGCATAGAAAAACTCGTCAGAACTTTCAGGATTACCTAATATAACACATTAGTACCTATTTGTGTACCTAAACATATCTAACTAAATATAGAGTTTGCAGCTTTAAAAAAATAATGATCCGAGGGTGTGTGCACTTGCCAGAGAGAGAGAAAGCACCCCACCAACAGGGCACGGTCATGCCACAGTCAATCCCTTTTCCTCTATTCCTATTTCAAATCCCATCAGGATTTGGGGCATGCATGCACATGTGCCCAACAAGTTGTTCAAGCCACTGGAGCCAAGATTCAAACCACGGTTGGCCATGTGGGATCTGGCTTTCTATGCCTAGGGCTTAACCACGGTACTTTGGAGCTGGCCCAGGGAATTTTTTAGGAAAGCAAAATAATATCCAAAAAGTAGCTGATTTTTCTGTACTTGAGCTGTCCTTATGATGGTGACAAGGAAGGACAGCTCTGGCTGAAGGGCTTCCCTGTTTCTGCGGGCAGGAGGATGGACACTCCGAGGTGTTTTAAGGCAGATAGAGTCTGACCTCCCACACCTGTTCTGTTTTGTGTTAGAGTTTGGAACACATGCCAGGAGGCAGGCCTTGCCTCTTCAGCTTGTTTTTCATAATGCTTTGGTTAACTCCAGAAGCAAGTGGGCACCTTCTGGATATGGCTGTGATGGTGTGGGCCATAACCTAGAGAGCAGGGTGTGCAGTTTCTAGAAGCAGGTCAAACAGAGCTTAGGCTCACTGAGTCTCCGCCCTCTTCCTTTGAGTCTCTAAAAACTCATACTTCTCTTTTTCTGTCCTTCTTGGCGTTAGTGGCTTCCTTGAAGTGGCTTAGTGGCGTCTGAAACCCCATGGTTCATGCTCCTTCCAGGTTCCTGCTCTCTTCACCGATGACTTACAGAATCCTTCTCTTAACAGGTGCACCAGGGGCTTGGGGGTCTGCGAGGATGAGGGGTACTTTTGGGCCTGTGAGTGGACACAGAGAAGGTACAGACTCTGTAGCAGTTAGACTGGAAAGAGGCAAAGGGGACTTGGAGAGGGATAAAGAATTCAAGAAGAAGCAGAGACCAGAGCCAAAACAAGGCGGGATGCCCAAGGGGGTTTGGATGAATACTGAATTCATTAATGGTGCAGGCTGTTTGGCTGGTCCTCCCACTTCACAGGTGGGGAAACTGAGGTTCAGAGGAGAAGTGACATGCCCAAGGTACACAGCAGGTGTTGGACTCCCTTCCCTGAGTAGGAGTCCAACTTAACCACCTCCTCTTTGCCTCCTGTTCTGTTTTTCAAAGACCCAGGAGTAAATATTTGTTGAATGACTAACAAACCAAAATGATTTGAATTTATTCCCTCTTTTTGTTCAAATTAATTTTTCTAAATGACAGATAAAATTGCATATGTTTTGTGTACAGCATGATGTTGTGGAATGGTTAATTCAAGCTAATTAGCATATAGGTATCTCATTGAATTGTCATTTCTATGGCGGGGGCACTTAACATGAACTCGCTTAGCATTTGTCAAGAATATAATATATTGGGAACCAGCAGTTAGCGTAATGGGCTATGTCGCTGGACTCCCATGTAGTCAACCACGGTTCACGTCCCGGACCCGGTGGCTTAAAACTCACTCCGGGCGCGTGTGCATGCGTGCCCAAGATCCTGAGAGGAGAATGGAGGAGAAGGGATTGTGGCGTGACCATCCCCCCTGGGGGGTGATTTCTCGCTTTCTGTCTCTCTGTCTCTCTCTGTCTGTCTGGTGAGCGCACGCGCCCTATAGCAAAAATCTCTCAAAAAAATAAATAAAAAGAAGAATACAATATATTGATGGCAAAAAAAATATATACAGGAAACAAGAAATGGAAAATTTTGTTGACGATAATACGTATGTTGATGTGCTTGATTGAGCCACTATGCAGTGTATACTGGATGGGAAATCTCATTTTGTATGCTGTAATGATGTATAGTGAATGAATAAAATTTTTAAAAAATGGGAAAAGAAAGAATAGAATATATTGTCACTAACCGTCGTCACCATGCCATACAACAGAGCTCTTGAATCCATTCCTCCTATCCTAACCATAACTTTGTATCCTTTCACCAACAATTGTCAAAAAGTCAAAAAGCCCCACTGTAGCTACTAGAAGCAGTTCCGAAGTGGTGGGTAGTAGGGAGTGGGAACTGGGTAATAGGGGATTACGGCAAAAACATTTAACAGACATGAAATGAAAAGTTATTTGCTGATGACAACGTATATGGTAAGGTCTTTGACTTGACTAATATGCACTGTACTTATGCTGGGAAAAACCATGTTGTATACCGTAGAGATGTAGAGTGATTCAATGTAAATTTTAAAAGTATTTTTAAAAAGGGACCAGCAGTTGGTGTAATGGCTATGTCTCTGGACTCCCATGCAGTGGACTGCAGTTTGAGTCCTGGACCCAATAGTTTAAACTCACGCCGGATGCATGTGTGTGAATGCTCAAGATCTCGAGAGAATGGAAGAGAAAGGATTGCGGTGTGGCCATCCCCCTGGGGGGTGATTTCTCGCTTTCTGTCTCTCTGTCTCTCTCTCTGCCTTTCTGGTGAGCACACGCGCCCTATAGCAAAAACCTATCCATAAAAAAAAAAAAGAGTCAGATGCATTTTATTAGCATTACAGCATATCTCATTTTTTCTTTCCTTTTTTAAAAGTAATTATTTTATTGAACTTTATTTATTTATTTTAATTTGACTGAGGGGGGGGTTGGTGGGAGATAAAGAGAGAAAGCAAGCCACCAGGTTTGGGACTCAAACTGCAGTCAGCCATGTGAGAATCCAGTACCCTTAACCACCATGCCACCTACCGGCCTCATCTTTTCTCTCTCTCTTTTTCTTTTTCATCTTGAGAAATTTTTGCTGTAGGGTACATGCGCTTGCTGGAGAGACAATGAGATGAAAAGTAAGAAATCATCCTCTGGGGGGATGGTCACACCTCAATCCCTTCTCCTCCATTCTCCTCTCAGGATTTTGAACACACACTACATGCACCTGGTGTGATTTTCAAGCCACCAGGTCTGGGACTCGAACTGCAGTTGACCACGTGGGAGTCCACTTAACCACTTTGCCACCCGTTGGCTCAAGATACCTCGTTTTGATTAACAATATTTCAAGTGCACTATAGCCACTTGCTGCTGGGGCTATCATTCTCAGCAGGACAAGTCTAGATAAAATACTTTATTCTAATCATAACTTTAAAAACTGTGTACTAAAAAAAAAAGAAAAAAAATTCCTCCATTAAAAAAAAAAAAATCAAAAAGCACCAGTCTCTGGTAACCTTCTAGGTTTCTGCTCTCTTCAGCCTTCGGCCATGACTTCCAGAGTCCATTCTGCTCTTTGCTTCTGTGAGAGCCACTCATCCAGGTTCCACATGAGCGAGGTCACGGAGTATTTGTCTTTGCCTGCTTCTTCCACTTCCCCTAACACCTTCCAGGTTCATTCAGGTTACTGCACTGGGACCTCTAGGCCCTAAGGAGGTTCTGGTTTACATTTTTTTTTTGAGGAAACTTCATACTGATTTCCGTAATCGCTATGTTCATTTACATCTCCACTCTAAGTTTGTTTCTTTTTTATGCCTATATTTTTGAATAATAAACCAAGAAGGGAAGGAAATGCTTGAGAGTTGCATAAGAAGGAAATTATCTAACCAAGAGTCCGATAGGAACTTGATTGTTGAGCAAATCACTGGGGTGGTGACACCCGCAGAAAGGAGGGTGGAGCTTAGAGAGTGGCCAAATGTGTCCCACAGCGGTGACCCCTAAGTCATGGGTCGGCAGACTAGATCTGTGTGTCCCAGCATCTGGTTTTGTACCACCTGTGGGGCATAAATTGAAGATAAACCTGTACAGTTGGCTTGATTCCCCCATTAAAAAAAAAAAATCAAAAAGCACCAGTCTCTGGTAACCTTCTAGGTTTCTGCTCTCTTCAGCCTTCGGCCATGACTTCCAGAGTCCATTCTGCTCTTTGCTTCTGTGAGAGCCACTCATCCAGGTTCCACATGAGCGAGGTCACGGAGTATTTGTCTTTGCCTGCTTCTTCCACTTCCCCTAACACCTTCCAGGTTCATTCAGGTTACTGCACTGGGACCTCTAGGCCCTAAGGAGGTTCTGGTTTACATTTTTTTTTTGAGGAAACTTCATACTGATTTCCGTAATCGCTATGTTCATTTACATCTCCACTCTAAGTTTGTTTCTTTTTTATGCCTATATTTTTGAATAATAAACCAAGAAGGGAAGGAAATGCTTGAGAGTTGCATAAGAAGGAAATTATCTAACCAAGAGTCCGATAGGAACTTGATTGTTGAGCAAATCACTGGGGTGGTGACACCCGCAGAAAGGAGGGTGGAGCTTAGAGAGTGGCCAAATGTGTCCCACAGCGGTGACCCCTAAGTCATGGGTCGGCAGACTAGATCTGTGTGTCCCAGCATCTGGTTTTGTACCACCTGTGGGGCATAAATTGAAGATAAACCTGTACAGTTGGCTTGATCATAGGGAATGCCAACTTTGCTGTCCTTCCCTCCAAGTAATTCCATTTGTCTCTTTAATGAACTTGTATTACAAAACAATTGTACTCAGCAGTTATAGTTTGAAAAATTTGCGGAAATGTATTTTGTCTCTTGTCATACAAGTATCTATGTAGCATACTCTACCTCTTAGCCTGCAAAGTCTTTTTTTTTTTTTTTAAATTTACTACCTGGCTCTTGGTAAAAAATGTGTGCTGACCCCTAACTCGGGCTGTCAGAGAGGGACCTGAGTGACAGATCTCTGCATGCTGGGTTAGGGTGAATCTGTACAGGAAGATGTGAGGGGCAGCAAGGCGTGCCCCCTCCCTTTTCCTTTATGCCAGAGGGTGTATGTTTGTGTGAGTGTGTGTGTGTGTGTGTGTGTGTGTCTGAGAGTGCGTGACTGAGAGAGAGAGAAAACACCTCCCCCAGCAGGGTCCAGTCACATCAGAATGCCTTTTCCTTCAATTCTCCATCCCATTGGGATCGTCAGCATGTGCAGGGCCTGATGTAACCAGGACTGGAACCCTGGCCAGCCAGGTGGAATCCAGCTTCCTCTGCACCAAGCCTAACCACTGGGCTACGGGCAGGCCTGCTCCTGTTATCTTAACTGCTGCCTTTCCTTTGCCTGACCTTTACCCATTTGTTCTCCCTCCAGCTGTGGCCTTGTGTCATGGATTCAATCTGGACACTGAAAACACAGTGAACTTCCAAGAGAATGCGAAGAGCTTTGGACAGAGTGTGGTCCAGTTTGAGGGATCCCGGTAAGAGCTGCAGGAGGCATTTCCTGTCTCATAAGCATTTCCTCCCAGATTTAACTGCCTGGGGGAAAAAATAATTTCCTTGATGTTTTTGGAATAGTTAAATATTCCAAATTAAAAAGATGCAAATAGGTGTAAGAATAAAACAATTCTCCTTTACTCCCTCCCCTAGTTCCTGTCCCAGAAAGGGCCTCAGCAAATGGTTTCTTGCGTATCCTTCCAGAGCAAGTCTATGCTTCGTACACATACATCTCCCTCACCCCCACACAATTTGTAGCGCACATTATACTGAAATCATGACCTGATTGCATATATTTTTGTAAATAAATTTTATTAACATAAACCTGTCCACTGTGCACTTGCTGCTAATGACCACTTTCAAGCCACAATGGCAGAATTGAGTAGATCTGGCAGAGATTGCATGCCCTGCAAAGCCTAAAACATTTACAGAAATAACAGTTATGGAAATAATATTACCTTTACAGAAAAGATACGCTGGTCTCTGCTCTACTCAACCCTTTGCTCTTTTCACCCCCTTAATATGGCTTGCCAGTTTTTACCAGATCTGTAACTAAAGCACTCAGTCAGTTTTATGCTTGAATCATATTTCATTATTTGGAGATACTGTCGTTTACCTTTACATTATGTTAAATCTCTTCTTTAAAAAAAGTCAGAGGATGCAGAAAACACCTCCCCCAGCAGGGTCCAGTCACATCAGAATGCCTTTTCCTTCAATTCTCCATCCCATTGGGATCTTCAACATCTCCTGATGTAACCAGGACTGGAACCCTAGCCAGCCAGGTGGAATCCAGCTTCCTCTGCACCAAGCAGAGACAGAGACAGAGACAGAGGAAGAGGGAGAAAACACCTCCTCAATGGGGTGTGGTCACGTCACAATCCCTTCTCCATTTCCATCCTGTCAGGATTTTGTGCATATTCATGCGCCTGACATGTTTTTCAAGCTGCTGGGGCTGAGGCCGTAGTTGGCCAATGTGGAATCCAGTTCTCTTAACCACCAGGCCAGGGGCCAGCTCTACTGAATCTCTTCTTAATAGACATTTAGAGGCTGGCAGGTGGCATGGTAGTTAAGGCAGCTGGACTCCCACGTAGCTGACTGCAGTTCGAGTCCCAGATCTGGCAGCTTGCTTTCTCACTTACCTTCTCTCTCTGTCTCTTCTCTGGTCAACATTAAAAGAATAAAATAAAATAGGGACCAGCAGTTGGTGTAATGGCTATGTCACTGGACTCCCATGTAGTCAACCACAGTTCGAGTCCCGAACCTGGTGCTTAAACTCACGCTGGGCGCATGTACGTGCATGCCCGAGATCCTGAGAGGAGAGTGGAGGAGAAGGAATTGTGGCGTGACCATCCCCCCTGGGGAGCGATTTCTCACTTTTTCTCTCTCTGTCTCTCTCTGTCTTTCTGGCGAGTACACACACCCTACAGCAAAAACCTCTCCAAAAATAAATAAAATAAATAAATAATGACAATGAATACAGTTAAATAAAATAATTCTCTAATAAATAGTCACTTCAATTATTTCCAAACGTCTGCTATCTGAACAATGCCATCAGTATGCACATACATGAGCAAGTACACTTGGAAGTGAATTCCTAGAACTGGGACAGTAGGATCAGAAGGTACAGGTAGATATAATTTTAATATATTTTTGCCAGATTACCTTCTATAGAGTTTATACTGGCAGTTTATACTGGCACAGGAAATACATTAAAATACCTACTTCTCTACCCATCTGCCAGTCCAATGTATTATCAAATTTATTATCTTTGCAAATTGAGTAGGTGAGACGTGGTATCTCAGTTTTTTTTTTTTTTCAAGTTCTGGTATAAGGCATATGTACTTGCTGTGGGGAGAGAGAGAGAAATCACCTCCACCCCCATGGAGGATGGCCACACCATAATCCCTTGTCCTCCATTCTTCTCTCAGGATTGTGGGCATGTACACCCAGTGTGCTTTCTTTTTTTTTCTTTCTCTCTTTTTTTTAAGAGAGGCTTTTGCTATAGGGTACATGCGCTCACCAGAGAGACAGAGACAGAGAGACAGAAAGTGAGAAATCACTCCCCAGGAGGACGGCCATGGTGTAATCCCTTCTCTTCACTCTCATCCTAGGATTTTGGGCATGCATGCTCATGCACCCGGTATAAGTTTTAAGCCACCAGGTCTAGGACTCGAACCATGATCAACCACGTGGGAGTCCAGCAACATAACCTTTATGCCACCAGTTGGTACCACCCAGTGTGTTTTCAAGCTACCGTGTCAGGGACTAGCATTGCATGGTAGGATCCAACCCTTAACCTCCGTGCTGCCTCCTGGGCCAATTATTTACTGTTTTTATAAGCACCGTATTTCCATTTCTGTGAGCATTTTTTTCTCCTTATCTCCTGACCATTTCCCCATTTTTTTCCCTTACTGATTTGAGGAACTTTAATTATATCGAGGGAAGTTGTCTGGGATATGAGTGGTTAATCTTTGTCTTTTGACTTTGCTTATGGTAGTTTATATACAGACATTTAAAATGACTGTGTGGTTGAATTTATTTTTTCCTTTTTAAAAACTTTTGTCAGAGGGTGCATTTGCTCACTAGAGAGAGAGAGGAAGAGGAAGAAAGCACCTCCAATAGGGTGTGGTCATGCCTGAATTCCTTCTCTTCATTTCTCCATCCTGATGGAATTTTTCGAACACACACACACACACACACACACACACACACACACACATAGTGTGTTTTTCAAGTTGTTGGGTCTGGGACTTGAACCACACAGCTTGGCCATGCGAGATCCAGCTCTCTTAACTGCTAAGCCATGGGGCTGGCCCAAATTGATCTTTTTTTTTTTTTTTCCAGAGAGGTGTTTTGCTATAGGGCGCATGCGCTCACCAGAAAGACAGAGAGAGACAGAGAGACAGAAAGCGAGAAATCCCTCCACAGTGGGGATGGCCATTCTGCACCATGGTGTGAGTTTAAGCCACCGGTCTGGGACTCGAACTGCGGTCAACTACATGGGAGTTCAGCGACATAGCCATTATGCTAACTGCTGGTCCCCCAAATTTATCATTTTAAATGACTTCTGTGTTATTTTTAGAAAAGCCTTTCCCTTGTGGGACCAGCAGATAACATAACTATTATGCCACTGGACTCCTACTTCATCCACTGCAGTTTGAGTCCTGGACCCAGCAGCTTTAAACTCATGCCGGTGTATGTGCATGCATCTCCCAAATCCTGAGACAATGGAGGAGAAGGGATTGGGGTGTGCTCACCCCACCGCAGGGGTGATTTTTTGCTTTTGTCACTGTGTCTCCCTGTCTCTCCAGCGAGTACATGCATCCTATAGCAAAAAATCTCTCTCTCTCTAAAAAAAAAAAAAAAAAAAGGCCTTTCTCATTTTGAGATTTAAAATTTCCCCATTTTTCCTTTGCTAATTCTTCTTCCTGTTTGTGGGAATTCAGGAATCCATGTGAGAGTTCCCAGTTTCCTCTGGGTAGTAGAAATCCTTCTATGGTCTCCCTCTCTCCCACATGTCAGAGGTCTCTCTATTCCCACTTCTTCCTGCAGGGTGGTGGTTGGAGCCCCCCAGGAGATAAAGGCCCCTAACCAAACAGGTGGCCTCTACCAGTGTGACTCCAGCACGAGCAAGTGTGAGCCCATCCAACTGCAGGGTGAGTCATACCCCTCCTGGGTCCCAGGGCCAGGCACCTAATTCCAGGGCCTGAGAGGACACAGGACTCCCGCTGCCCAGCTTCAGCTCTGTCTGCTGACCCTCTCCCTCAGACAGGCTTCCTGACCCTCTCTAGACCTCCCCACCCATCCCTGTACTCCTACAGCCCCCATCACCTGTCACCCAGGTTGAAGTGACAGCTCTTATACAGCCTCCTGATGGTGACCATGTATGTTACTATCCCCTCAGTCCCTCCAGAAGCTGTGAACATGTCCCTGGGCCTGTCCCTGGCAGCTACCACCAACCCCTCCCAGCTGCTGGTGAGTTGCCCCTGTCATAGGGGGAGCCTGAGGGAGGAGGGGGTCCTGGGGCTGCGAGGCTGGAGCTGGGGGTGTGGAAGTGCTGGAGAGGGAGAATGGGAGGGATCAGGGGCAGCCTCTCCCACCAGCCCATTCTGTCCTTAGGCCTGTGGCCCCACCGTGCATCAAACTTGCAAGGAGAACACATATGTGAATGGCTTCTGCTTCCTGTTTGACTCCAACCTACGGAGGCAGCCCCAGAGGATCCCAGAGACCCTCAGAGGCAGGTCACTTTGGGGAGAGGTTATAGACAGGCCTCTGGAACTGGAGGGTGCAGGGCAGGACTGGGACAGCTCATGATCTAAGGGATGACTTAGAGGTCTAGGTGCAGAAACTGGGGTGGCGGGGGAAGCTGGGTTCCAGTAAAGAGAGAAGCTGGGGGAGGTGCTAGGGTCTCACACTTTAAAAAAGTCTCCCACTTCGTAGCTACTCACTTTTATGAGAAGGGGACAGGTCAACTGACCCCACAGAGATCCCAGCTGTTGTCCTTAGAGTAAGTGCCTGGATCTCCCCACTATAGCTTTTGGTGCTGCGAATGGTGTGGCCTTTGCTAACCTCTAACTTCCTCCCTCCCCCCTCAGTCCCTGAGCCCCGCTGCTCTGACTGCTCTTCCTCTCCAAGGGTCAGGCTCAGCTGCCCCGCCTCAGGGCCTTTGCACTTCCTATTCCTTTAGCCTGACTGGACTTCCTGTGCTGGTCTGACAGCCCATTATTGTCACCTCAGCTCAAATGTCACCTCTGAAGAAGCCTTTCCTGTGTGGGCCTTCTAATCATTCCCACCATCACTCCCTTTTGCACTACCCTATTTACCTTCTTCACATTCACATATTCATATTTTATTTTTTCTTATCTGTCCTTTTTTGTTGATGTGGTTTCTATGAGAGCAGGGATATCATCTCGTTTGTTTACTGCTGTGTACACGTGTATCTATGGTTGTTTAACAAACAATCTCTGAATTTAGCAGCTTAAAACGGCATTTACTATCTCAAAGTTTCCATACGTCAGGAATCTGGGTGTGGTTTAACCAGGTGCCTCTGTCTCAGGGTCTCTCATGACACTGAAGTAGAGTTGTCCAAGAAGGGCTATGGTCTCATCTGAAGGCTCGGCTGGGGAAAGGCTTACTTCCAAGTTCTTCATGTGCTCACTGAACTGAGGGCCCCAGTTTCTCACTGGCTGTTGGCTGGAGGCCTCTCTCAGTTGCTCACTACATGGGTTTCTTGAAAGAGCAGCTTATGAAATAGTAGCTGGGGCCCAGCTGAAGTGCCATGCTGCTGTTAAAATGCTGCTACTCTGCAGGACCAGCAGGTGGTGTGGTTAAGGTGCTGGATGCTCCCACATGGCTGACCACGGTTCAAATCCTGGACCTGGTGGCTTGCTTTCTCACCTTCTCTCTCTCTCTCTCTCTGTGTCTCTCTGGTCAAAATAAAAATAAATGAATGAATAAATAAAGTTAAATAAATAATTAAAAATAATATATATATATATTTTTTAATGCTGCTACTCTGTCGGCTGAGGCCACATGAGAGGCCTGGATTCAATTCTCAGCTGACCTGAAAGTCAAGAGTGGTGGTGCACACCTGTAATCCCAGCCACTGAGGCTGAGACAGGGGGGTTATGACACTGTGACACCTTGTCTTTAATAATAAATAAATAAATAAATAAAAGCAAAGCAAAGCCGAATGGGAACCTAATGTAGAAGTTAGAATCTTTTTATAATCTAATCTTAGAAGTAACATGTCATGGGGCCAGCAGGTAGTGTGGTGGTTAAGAGTGCTGGAATCTCACATGGCCAACCATGGTTCAAATCCTGGACCTGGTGGCTTGCTTTCTTACTTTCTGTCTCTCTTGCTCTCTCTCACTCTGTCTGTCTTTGGTCAAATTTAAAATTTTAAAAAAGAAATAACATCATTACTTCGGCCATATTCTAGTCCTTTGAAGTGAATCAAAAAATTCAGCTCATATTCAAGGGGAGAGGATTATGCTAGGGTGTTATTGCCAGGAGTTGGGAATCTTAGGGATCATCTAGGTGATTGCCTACTATACTCCTATTCCCTAAACATTTGTTGATTATTGAAGGAGAGAGTGAGCAAGTGACTCTTCCAGGCTGCTTTCTTCCTTTGCTTTTTCCAACTGCTTAGCCATCTTTTTGCTTGTCTCCAAGATGGTTCTGGAACCAAAGGCAGATATTGCTCCCTTTTATAGTTTTTCTTTTCCTTTCTTTCTTTTTTTTTCAGTTTTTTTTTTCCCTATAGAGTGTGTATGCTCAGCAGAGAGAGAGAGAGAGAGAGAGAGGTAGTCAGAGGGAAAATGAGGACCCTCCCTGGGGGGATGGCCATGCCACAATCCCTTCTCATCCATTCTCCTTTTGGGATTTTGGGCACTTATGCACATGTGCCTAGTGTGTTTTTAAGCCACCAGGTCTGGGATTTGAACCCTAGAATCGGGCACGTGGAATCCAGTTACCTTAACCTCCACACTACCTGCTGGATGTTTTCTTTCTCAAGTTCTGGTCCTCTATTTTTCACCTTCGACAGATAACCTTCCTTTCTTTACAGAGAAAGCAAATGTTTCCAGACATGAGCTCCCTCCACTCCCCTTCTCATTGTCCAAATTTCAATAATGGCATTTTCCTTGGCACTTTCTCACTGGTTTTTGAGGAAGCTGCATCCTTCCTTCTTTCTGTGACTAATTCTTCCATCTGGGTGCTCAAGGGTCTCCCAGGCATCAACTAAGGGGCCCACATCTTCAATCACTCATTCTCTCCTGGAGCTTTAGTGTCTACTTCTCCTCTGAATGTGAACATTCTTAAGCATCCTATATCCTAAGAACCATCAACCACCCAAATGAATAGTAACAAAGCAGTCTTCCTTCTCCCTGGTCTCCTCCTCATCTTCTGTTCTCTCTCCTCACCACCGAACTTCTTAATAGGATTCTTTCAAGAATCCTATCTACTTTGGAAACAATTCCACACACAAAAAAAGACATGAGAAACGAAGTCATTTAAAATGTCCAAGACAATTGTCCAAATGTGGGTCACCTTTTCCATGGCACCACCTTCTGGCCTCTTCCAACTAGAACAATGTGAGAAGTGTTTCTTTTCAAAGGCTCTAATTTTAAAGACATGGTGGGATTTAAGGAAACCTTAAGGGATAGTCCAGGAACTCAGAGTAAGCAGTAATAGAGCTGTCGCTGCCCCTAGGCTGATGAAATACAGAGAAGTCACCAGAATCCAGGAGAGAGGCTCGTGTGGAGCAGGCTTCCTTGAGAGGAGCAGTGGTCTTCTGCCAAGGACAGCTGGCCCAGAGCAACCCCAAAGGGAGAACCCTAACCTCACTCCTCTCTCCCTCCATTCTCAGGTCGAGTCTTCTCATTGGCTAAATCCAACTAGCAGCAGAGGGCAAAGAACACTGTTGACGTGGCCCCTATAGGTAGACCTCGTGGGCCACAGAGCACATGGAGGGGAGAAAGTGGACTTGGTACTGGGAGCAGAAGGGAGGAGCACATTCGGCCTACCATCCACCACACGTGCTATTTCTTTTTCTGTCATTTTTCCTCCCTTTGCATTTCTGGCAAACTAGCATTCTTCATGATCTAGTCAATATCACTGCTTTGGCGGACTTCTTTGGTCTAAATTAGAGAGATTTTTGCTATGGGGACATGCACTTGCTAAAACACAGAAAGAGACAGAGAGACAGAAAGTGAGAAATCCCACTCCACTCCTCCCCTGCCAGGGGGAATGCCCACATCGGAATCCCTTCTCTTTCATTCTCCTCTTGGGATTTTGAGTATTCATGCACATGCGCCCAACTTGAGTTTCAAGCCACCAGGTCTGGGACTCAAACCATGGTCAGCCAGGTGGGAGTCCAGCACCACAACCACTAAACCACCTGTTGGCCCCACCAAAAAATTTTTATATAATTTTTTCTATGTTTTATTTAGCTTGGAAAAGGGATTAACGCTTGTCTGACTCTTTAAAACATATTTTTAAATAATTATTTATTTAATTTTTATTATTATTTAAAAATTTATCTAGAGAGAGACAGAGAGAGACAGAGAGAGAGAGATACAGAAAATGAGAAGTAAGTTGCTATGTTTAGGACTCAAACCGTCGTCAGCCTTGTGGAAGTCCAATACCTTAGCCACCATGCCACCCGCTGGCTCTATCTTGTCTTTTATTCTCATTGCCCTGCAGAGAGCAGACACGCAGAACAATGAACCCTAAGTCTCCAGTTGCTTACTAATTTATACTCTTTTATTCCTCTGCCCCAGAGTGTCCTCGGCAGGACAGCGACATCGCCTTCTTGATTGATGGCTCTGGTAGCATCAAACCCACTGAATTTCAGCAGATGAAAGACTTTGTCTCCACTGTGATGGATCAATTCGAGAAGCCCAAAACCTTGGTGAGGGCCGATGGGTAGGTTAGGGAGTAGCCCACGTAAAGCTGGCAGGTAGATGGCAACCAGTCTGCTGCTTTCCCTCCTACTTCGATTGTAGGCATTGCCAAATCGACAATCCATTGTGATTTTCTTTCATAATTCTCCTTCCTGTTGTGGATGCAGCCTCAGCATTCCTCCAGCCCTTTCTGAAGCAGAAATCTTTGTGTAATTAATAGAGGCTGGGATGGGAGACGAGGCCCATGTGTTACCTCCGACTGAGCTTCGGCACTGAGAAGTGGGAGCTAGTGGCAGGTCTCTGTCGTGGTGAGCCAGAGGAACTGGGGGTGGTGTACAGGAGGAAATCAGAGACTGGAACATTTCAAGAACTGCGTAGGGCTTGCTGGCAGATGTCCAAGAGGGGAGGTAGGACCGTCTCGGTTGTAATACCAGGTACGGTTCCCAGTTCTCTTTGATGCAGTACTCTGAAGACTTCCGGACTCACTTCACCTTCAGTAATTTCAAGGAGAACCCTAACCCGGCATCGCTGGTGACGCCCATCCGACAGCTGTTTGGGAGGACACACACCGCCACGGGAATCCGCAAAGTAGTGTGAGCTCTTCCTCCACTCAGGATGGCAGGAGAAGATATTTTTAGCAGGGCTTTCAGGATGAGGGCAGTTGTTCGAGCATGGATGGGGTAAAGAATGTTTCCAGTGGGGAGAGCGACATGAGTCCAGGTGTGGAGAGGAGCGTATGTAATACATTCAGGGATAAAACACGCTGGGGGTTAAGGTAGAGGGAAGAAGTGAGGGAAAGGAGGCTGTGGGGAGGCTAGGAATACTGGTTGGGGCCCGGTCACCAAAGGCAACTTTATAGCCAGCGGGGATCCATGGAGGGTTGTAAGCAGTGGGGAGACACCACCACGCCTCCTTCGGTCATTTCAGTGTGTGCGTGAAGAGGCTAGTGTCAAAATGGGGCAGAAGTGCAGAAAGAGGAGCTCCTGAGCTGTTGCAGTGTTCCAAGAGAGGTTCGATGAAGATCCAATTAGGTTTATTTTGTTTTGTTTATTTATTTTATTTAACTTTATTTATTTTAATTCTACCAGAGAGGGACGGGGCGGGGGGGGGGAGAGAGAGAGAAAGCAAGCTGCCAGGTTTGGGACTTGAACCTCGGTCAGTCATGGAAGAGTCCAGCACCCTTAACCACCACACCAACTGCCACCCCCATAGTTTATTTTGTTTTAAACAAAAAAAAAAAAAAAAAAAAAAATTTTTAAAGCTTTTAGATACTAAAGTCCAAATCTCCAAAAAGTCAAAAAGAGATGTTCACTTTATTTTCTTTGTTTTTATTTTTTTGAGGGCACGTGCTCTAAGGCAAAAACCTCTAAAAAAATAAAGAGGAAGTTATAATATTAGAAATGTAATATTAGAATACTATTTATGATATTTATTAAATTATAAATATTTATTATATTTTAATATTATACATATACACATTCAAATATTATTATAAATATTATAACTATACAAATATAATAATTATAACACTCAAAGTTTATAACATTAAAAGTTAAACTATCCGAGGCCGTGAAGACTTCCTTTCCTTCCACTCTCCCATTCTCTACTGTCTTTCCAGGTCTTGGAGCAGTCACATCTCAGTTGAGTCGCAGTCTCCCCTGAGCCCCTCCTAGACAGAGTCCAGCCATATTTATGTTTGACTCTGCTGACATTTTCTCCGTAACATTAATATCATCTCTGTATCCTTGCATTTGTTTTATTTGTTTATTTATTTTGGAGAGGTTTTTGCTATAGGGCACATGCGCTCGCCAGACAGACAGAGAGAGACAGAAAGACAGAAAGTGAGAAATCATCCCCCAGGGGGGATGACCACCCCACAATCCCTTCTCCTCCATTCTCCTCTCAGGATCTTGAGCACGCATGCACACATTCCCGGCGTGAGTTTAAGCCACCGGGTCCGGGATGCGAACCACGGTCGGTCACATGGGAATTCAGTGACATAGCCATTATACCAACTGCTGGTCCCCCTTGCATTTGACTTTATCCTTCTTCCCTGCACAGAAGAGAACTATTTCACAGTGCCAGTGGAGCCCGGAAGAATGCGCTAAAGATCCTAGTTGTCATCACAGATGGACAAAAGTTTGACGATCGCTTGGAATATGAGGATGTCATCCCTGAGGCAGACAGAGCGGGGGTCATTCGCTATGTCATTGGGGTAGGAAATGTGGCTCTCAGGCCAGATTCTTCTGTGGAGCATTTCCACTTGGATGCACTCCCCTTTCAATTTGCAGATTTTTGTAAAATCAAAGTGAGGCAAGAGTTACTGCTAGCCCATATAGACCTGTATCAGTTAGTTAGTATCACAATAATGCTGTGTAACAAACTATTCCAAAATTCAGTATGACCAGCTGATGGCATAATGGTTACGTTGCTGGACTCCCATGTGGTTTGAATCCCAGACCTGGCAGCTTGAGACTCACATCAGGCATATGCGTGCCTGCCCAAAATCTCGAGAAGAGAACAGCAGAAAAGGGATTGTGGTGTGGCCACTCACCCCACAGGGGGTGAATTCTGGCTCTCTGTCTCTCTGTCTCTCCAGCAAGTGTACGCACCATGTAGCAAAAATCTCTCTCTCAAAAAAAAGTAAGCCTACAGATCAGCTGGACAGTTTTTCTGGTGTGAGTAGGGCTCACTCAACTTCTGTAATCAGCATCAAGTTAGCAGGCAGATCTGATGATCTTGGGGCTCTCTCCATTTCTGAGGTTGCCAGCTATGCCTGTCCACTAGAGTAATGGCCCTGATTGGAACAAATGGGGTGACTTTGTCCCTTCTATGTTCTGGATCTTATTCCCCAGTGGGCTCACCTGGGCCTGTCCTTGTGGTGATGGTGGAGAAATGAGATCAAATGGAAATGTTGCAAGTGGGTTTTTTTGTTTGTTTTTTAGAGAAATTTTTGCTATAGGATGTGTGTACTCGCCGGAGAGACAGAGAGACAGAAAGCAAGAAGTCAACCCGCAGCATGGATGGCCACATCTCAATCCCTTCTCCTCTCAGGGTTTTGGGCATGCATGCACATGTGCCTGGCATGAGTTTTAAGCCCCCAGGTTTGGGATTCTAACTACAATTGACCACACAAGAGTCCAGTGATGTAACCATTACACCATCTGCTGGTTCCATGCAAGTGCTTTTGGAAACTCTGCTTGCATTATGTTTGATAATATCCATAAACTAACGTGAGATACCAGGCTGAGCCCAGAAACAGTGAATGAGGCAAATTGCTCCAAGAGTAGGAGAACCCAGAAACATTATGGGGAAAGCTTGGACACAGGACGAGATAAAAAGCTAGGATCATCAGTGTAATCATACTCCCACACCACCCATGTGATATAGAAAAGATACGATCATGGGTGCATGGTAGGAAACGCCTTCAGATAAAGAAAAAGACCCCACTTCCATAGGAGGGAAGTCAGCTCCACACCAGGAGGCATGGCATGGCATGGCAAATGAATCCAAGACTGGGTTTTAGCACCCAATTACTCCCTTGCCAGAGTGCCTTCCGCAGCGTACAACCTGCCCGACTACCCTCGGCAGCCTCATCCTAGGCGCCTCTGGTGCCCTCTCTCACTCAACAAATCGTGTTTCAGATGCTTTTCCTGCACAATTTTCTTTTCTAGGAGATAATTGCTATCCCTAAACAATATATGATTTGGTCTCTCTTCCGTGGTGACAGGTGGGAAATGCCTTCAACAACGAAGAGTCTCGCCAGGAACTTAATACCATCGCATCCAAGCCATCCCGTGACCACGTTTTCCGGGTGAACAACTTTGAAGCTCTGAAGACCATTCAAAACCAGCTTCAGGAAAAGATCTTTGCAATTGAGGGTGAGGCAGGCATCTGTGTTCTTGGAGCAGACCCAGTGGCAGCCCTCCACCCCAAACATTTATTTCCCTCTAGACACTAGGCTCCACTAATCCTTGGTATCCTGACCCTCAGCATTAACTCTCTTTCCACTTCCTCCAGCTCCCAGCCTCCCTGGCCTCACTTGGACAGTCTAGACTTTCATCTCTAATTTTGCAAGTCTTGGCTATGGGCTGAAAAATTGGAACATGGAATCAAATCTCACACAATCTAGATTTGGATGTGTTGCCAACATTAGTCTAGTTTAGTAGCACTAAGGCAAAAACAGCGCCTGGTACATAGAAGGTGCCCAATAAATGTTGATTGAGTACAACAATGCAGAAATTAGGGAATCTGGGATCCAGTAGGTGTCATGGAGGTTAAGGTGGCTGGATCCCATATGGCTGACTGCAGGGTTCAAATTCTGGATTTGAAAGACATGCTGGGTGTATGTGTACACCTGCCCAAAATCCCAAGAAGAGAATAGAGGAGAAGGAGAAGGAATTGTGGCAGGGCCATCTCCTATAGGGGGTGATTTCTTTTTCCCTCTCTCTCTGTCTCTCCCCAGTGAGTGCAGTACAGTAAAATAAAACAAAATCCAGAAAATAGAGAATGTAATATACAATTTGGATTTATGGCTTCTCTTGGAAAGTTGGAAGATTGGATACTTTGAGGATCTCATTCATACTTAGCATAATGAAGCTGCTGCTGAATAGCTGCCATGTGCATGCATGTGCATGCCCAAAACCCCCTTTAAGAGAGGAAGATGTTAGGACCAGCAGGTGGCACGGTGGTTGAGGCACTGAACTCCTACATGGCCACCTGTGGTTCAAGTCCTGGACCTGGCAGCTTATTTTTTCACTTAAATCTAAAAAGAAAGAAATTAAATAAATCTTATTTTTTTAAAAAAAGGGGGGGACAGATGCTTTCCAGTTGAACACAGACCCCATCTGAGTCTCCTTTTGTCTGGCCACCATAGCATTTGACTTTCCGGCTCTCGTTCTAGGCTCTTCTGGTTTCTTTAATATAGGAAATTCTTCTTCTCACAGGTACTCAGACAGGAAGTACCAGCTCCTTTGAGTATGAGATGTCTCAGGAAGGCTTCAGTGCTGTCATCACCTCTGTAAGTGGCCCTTTATCAAATTGGGGTGGGGAGGCAAGAAGAAAAGAGGTGCAAGGGTTTGGGGGCTCTTCTCTGTGATGCATTCTTGTTGGGAGGTACCTCTTTGGTGGGAGCAGTGGTCCCTTCTCCCTTCCTCATTAATCCTGTTCTACCTCTTTTTCCAGAATGGTCCCTTGCTGGGCACTGTGGGGAGCTTTGACTGGGCTGGTGGAGCCTTTCTGCATACATCAAAAGATAAAGCTGTCTTCATCAACACTACCAGGGTGGATTCAGACATGAATGATGCTTATTTGGGTAAGAGGGTAGGGCAGGAGTTACTCTGAAGAAGGAGTTAGGGTATGTCATAATTCGGCTAGTATATACGGCATTGGATCTTTCACAGGCCCTTGGGACAGCTTTTTTCTTTTTTTCTTTTCAGTTTTTGCTATAAAGCACATGCGCTTGCTAGAGAGACAGTGACAGTGAGAAATCATCCCCCAAGGGGTATGGCCACACCACAATCCCTTCTCCTTCAGCCTCCTCTTGGGATTTTGGACACACACACACATGTGCTGGTGTCGTTTTCAAGCTGCCAGGTCCAGTGCAGTCAGCCACGTGGGATCCAGTGCCATAACCTCCACACCACCTGCTGGCCTTGGGATAGCCTTAAAGATGGGAATTTAAAAATGTTATTTTTTTATTTTTCTAAGAGAGGTTTTTGCTATAGGGCATGTGTGCTTGCCAGAAAGACAGAGAGAGACAGAAAGCGAGAAATCACCCCCCAGGGGGAATGGCCACGCTGCAATCCCTTCTCCTCCATTCTCCTCTCAGAATCTTGAGCACAAACACACACGTGCCTGGAGTGAGTTTAAGCCGCCCGGTCCAGGACTCGAACTACAGTTGACTATGTGGGATTCTAGTGATGTAACCATTGTGCCATCTGCTGGTCAAAATTTAATTTTTAAAAAAGAATTATTTATTTATTTATTTCCATTTGTTATTATTATTATTTTTTAATTTGACCAGACAGAGACAGAGAGAGAGAGAACAGGAAAGCGAGAGAGCAAGCCGCCAAGTCTGGGACTTGAACCATAGTTGGCCACGTGGGAATCCAGCACCTTTAACCACCACGCCACCTGCCAGCCCCCAGAATTTAATTTTTAAATTTAATTATGTTTACAAAGAGAAATATATGGAAGACTGAGTTACTCAGCCTACCAAGCATGGGGCTACCCCATTGCTCCTTAAAGCCACTTATGGGATGGGTCTGCATGGCAGAGAGGAAGGTAGGGTCTGTGAGGGGAAACACTTCACCTCTTAGAGCACCATTTTCAGGTTACGCTGCTGCCATCATCTTGCGAAACCGAGCGCAAAACCTGGTTCTGGGGGCACCTCGATATCAGCACACGGGCATGGTGATGATGTTCAGACAGAACGCTGGCATCTGGGAAACCAACGTGAATGTCAAGGGCAGCCAGGTGAGTTCGGATTGTGTGGAGCGTTAATATACAAGGCACCCTGGGTGCTGAGGTTTCAGAATGGGCATGCCAGATGCCATGCACGGCAGATTCTTAGAAAGGAGCCTTCGGGAGGTGGGTGCATGTGCATGCTCCAGGTCCTGACAGGATGGAGAAATGGAGAAGAAGGGATTGCGGAATGACCAGGCCCCACTGGGGGAGAGGTTTCTCTCTCTCTGTCATTCTGTTTCTGGTGAGTACACATATATCTCTGACAAAATAAAAGAAAATCAATAAAAATAAGAAAATAATTTATCTGTTAATAGCTGGCTACTTCCTTGAGGTGCTCTCCCTACCCCATACTCTCTGGTCCATTTGGACTTAACAATGATCCAGCAACTTTGAGGTCAAGCAGGGAACCTCAGGGGACCTCTAGGGCCTGTTTTAGCCAAGCCATTGCTCAGTATTTACACAGCCCAGCGGTTCAATATTTTAAATATCATCCCTGCTGCTTTTAAAAGCAGTTTGGTTGTGCATTATGAAGGAACTGGTGTGTGAGGCACAAATCTCTAGTCAAAATCTTTCTCGAAAATTCCTGAAATAGGACTGCAGCTGTGGTATCATGCCTTAGTTTGATGTGTATTCTGCTCATTTTCATCAGTGGTTCTCTTTGGCCTGCAACTGATGTACCATATGTGGATGAAACCAGTTTGCCCTGATACCTGAAATAGCTTAGTGTAATTCTTTGCTAATAGTTAAATTCCTCATGTAGTTTTTCCATACATTTTACCAACAGACATTGACTGTGGATGGTGTCGGTGTCTGGCACATGTAAGGGGGAGGGTTGGGGCAGTGTGTAGGGGAATTCTAGGAAGTCAAGTGCGAATGTGATGCTGTTTCTGTTTTGTACATGTGGTCCAGGATCACACGAGGAAGGCTGAGTGGTCACCTCCCCCACTGCACACAGGTACACACAGATGACCATCAAGGGTGATAAAAGCTCAGACTGGGATAACCCAAGTTATGAGAACACATGGGTGGGACACCCACGCAATGTGTTAAGGAAGGCTTTCTGGAGGAACTGATAGGAGAGCCAAGGCTTGGGGTGGAAGAACTAGAAAAGTGAAGAGTGGAGGGAAGAAAAGGGCCAGAGGAGGAAGACCATGAGACAAAGTTTAGAGTGTGAGTATATGGGGTTAAGAGGAGCGATCTCTTTTTGAAAAATGTCTGGATTGGTTGCCCATTTTTATATTGAATTATGCATGTTTTTGCTGGTGAGTTGTTTCAGTTCTTTGTAGATTCTGATTATTAACCCTTACCAGATGCGTAACTTGCAAATATTTTCTCCCATTCAATAGCTTGTCTCTTTACATTGTTGATTATTTCATTAGCTGTGTAGAAACTTTTTAGTTTGATGCAATCCCATTTGCCTATTTTTGCTTTTGTTGTCTGTGCTTTTGAGGGCTATGTTTACCTACATTGATGTCCCAAAACATTTCCTGTATTTTTTTTTCTTCTAGAAAGTTCATGGGTTTTGGTCGCTTGTTTAAATCTTTTTTTTTTTTTTAAATATATAATTTAACTAACTTTCTTTCTCTTTCTTTCTCTCTTTCCTTCCTTTCTTTCTTCTTTATTTAAAATTTGACCAGAGAGAGAGGGAGGGAGGGAGAGAGATAAAGAGAGAGAGAGAGAGAGAGAGAAAGAAAGTGAGAAAGTAAATCACCAGGTCCAGGACTCAAACCGTGATTGACCATGTGGGAGTCCAGTGCCTTTAACCCCCATGCCACCTGCCAGTCCCCTTATCTTTAAATCTTTAATCCATTTTGAGTCATTTTTGTATATGGTGAAAGATAGAGGTTTGTTTTTTTTCCTTCTGCACTAAACTCACGCCAGGCACGTGTGTGTGCATGCATGTACTACATATGTATTTTTTTACTCCTCTCTCTTACTGAGAATCTGCAGTGGCAATTTTATTTCCTCCTTTATGATTTATTTACACTTAATTTATTTCCCTTCTTAATTGCTTTAGCCATGATCTCTAGCACTATGTTGAATAGGAATGGAGAAAGTGGACGTGCTTGTCTTATTCCAGTTTTTCTTTTTTTTAATTTTCTAAAAATTTTTTTATTCCTCCCGTTGAATCCTCCCAGTGACATTATTTGGGACTGCAATGAGCTGGTGAGGGTCTCTTATTTACACTTAATTTATTTCCCTTCTTAATTGCTTTAGCCATGATCTCTAGCACTATGTTGAATAGGAATGGAGAAAGTGGACGTGCTTGTCTTATTCCAGTTTTTCTTTTTTTTAATTTTCTAAAAATTTTTTTATTCCTCCCGTTGAATCCTCCCAGTGACATTATTTGGGACTGCAATGAGCTGGTGAGGGTCTCAAGGGTAACAGGAGCAGATCAACCCTGAGGGTTGGCACACTGGCGTGAACAGAGTGTGAGCTGGTCTTTGGGCAGGACCAGGAGTCTTGACGTGCCCTGAATTAAGACACTCCTTCAGTCCTTTCTTGGCTTCTGGCTGGTCGGGCATCAACTGTGACATGATGGGCTTTGGGTAGGGCTGGGCTCTCCACTGTCCCAGAACTGAGCTTCATGGCTGGTCCTTGCTGGCCACTGGCAAGCTTGGATGCCACTGCACCTCCAGCGTAGTTGATTCCCTGCCCCGGGGGCCACTGTCTTGCAGCTCATGGACTCTGGGCAGCAGTTCGCGACCCAGGACTCCGGGAACTCCTCTGCGTCTGTCCCATTATTTCAGATTTAGAGAAAAAGCTTTAGATTTTTTCCCCATTCAGTATGCTAGCTGTGGCTTTGTCATGCATGACCTTATTATGTAGAGAAATGTGCCTTCTAGACTTAATTTGTTAAGAGTCTTAAAGAATGGTGCATTTTTTCGAGTGCTTTTTCTGCATCAATTGATATGAGCATATAATTTTCATTTCTTATTCTTGTGATGTATCACATTTATCGATTTGCATATACTGAGCCATTCTTGCATTCCTAGGATAAATCTTGCTTGATCAGGATGTTTAATATTTTTGATATGTTGTCAAATTCAGATTGCTAGGATTTTGTTGAGAATATTTGTGTTTATGTTTATCGAGGATCTTGATCTATAACTTTCTTTTCTTGTAGAGTCTTTATCTGGCTTTAGCATGGGGGTAGTGCTGGCCTCATAACGCCATACAGCCATTGAATGTAAATAAATAAATGAAAGAAAAAACAAAACCAGTTTGGAAGTATTCTACCTTTTTCAATTTTTTGAATGAATTTGAGAAGTATTGACATTAATTTTTCTTTAAATGTTTGGTATAATTCACCCATGAAGCCATTAGGTCCTGGACCTTTCATTGTTGAGAGATACTAGATTATCGATTCAATCTCTTTACTCATAGATCTGTTTAGATTTTTTATCTCTTTATCATTCAATCTTGGCAGTTTTTTGTTTGTTTTGTTTTTTAGGAATTTATTCATTTCTTCTAGTTTATCCCAGTTTGTTGGCACATACTAATCGATAGTAGTCTTTTGTGGTTATTATTATATATATTTTTTTGTATTTCTATGGTGTCAACTATAATGTGCTCTCTTTATTTCTGATTTTATTTACTTGATTCTTCTTTTTTTCTTAGTCTAGCTAGAGGTTTGTCCATTTTGTTTATCTTTTCTATAACATAATAGTTTCTTGATATTTTGTTTTGTTTTCTTTTCTTTTACCTCTATCAGGCTATTTCTGCCCTGACCTTTATTGTTTCTGTCCTTCTGATGAATGAGTTTAGGTTGGTCTTTTTCTAATTTATTGAGGTGCAAAATTAGGTTATTTTATTTCTCCTTCCTTCCTTCCTTCCTTCCTTCCTTCCTTCCTTCCTTCCTTCCTTTTCTCTCTTTTCCTCCCTCCCTCCTTCCCTTTTTTCTCTCTTCCTTCCTTCCTTTCTTCTATCTTAATTCTTTCTTAGTGTAGGCATTTATCTCTATAAACTTAGAACTGCTTTTGGCCTGCCCTACAGTGTGATGGTTAAGTGCTGTGTATTGGGAGTTAGATCCTGCATGGCTGACTACAGTGCAAGTTCCAGCCCCAGTGGTTTAAAAAACATGCCAGCTATGTGTGCGTACATGTGTATGCCCAAATTCTGACAGGAGCAGGTGGTATGGACATTAAGACAGCTAGATCTCATGTGATCAGCTCCACCATTTGAGTCCTGAACCCAGTACCTTGAAAATCAAGCTGGGCACATGTGCATGCCTCATCAAAATCCTGAGAGGAGAATGGAGGAGAAGGGATTGTGGCATGGCTATCCTCCCTGGGGGTAGGGGGGAAGGTGATTTCTCACTTTCTCTCTCTTCATCTCTCTCTATCTCTGTATCTCTCTCTTGAGAGAGTGCATGTGCCTTATAGAAAACTGAAAAAAAAAATCCTGACAGGAAAGAGAAGTGAAAGGAGAGGGATTATGACATGACCACACTCCATTGGGAGGTGCTTTTCTCCCTCTCTCTGGTGAGTGCACATGCCCTTTTGGGGGTGGAGGAATGCATTTTTTGCATCCCAGAAGTTTTGATATGCATGCTTCCATTTTCACTTCTCAAGTTTAAAATTTTTTTATTAATTCCTTTACATTTCTCTTTTGATTTCTTCTCTTACCCATTGGATGTTCAGGATGTTCATCTTTTCTGGTATAAATATGGGTAACTGCTATTTTTTTAAATTATCATTTGCATGAAATGTCTTTTTCTTTTTCTTTCTTTCTTTTTTTTTTTGTATACATTTTTTCCTTAGGGCATGTGTGCTCACTGACGAGAAAAAGACAGACAGAGACAGTGAGAGGGAAAGTGAGAAATCACCGCCAGGGTCATGGCCACGATGCACTTCTTTCTCCTCCATTCTCCTCCTGGGATCTTGGGCATGCACGCACACTTGCCTGGGGTGAGTTTCAAGCACCAGGTCCGGGACTTGAACTGCGGTTGACCATGTGGAGCCCAGCAATGTAACTGCTATGCCATCTTCTGGCCCTGAAATATCCTTTTCTGTCCCATCGTTTTCAGCCTATTTTTAGGGAGCATATAGTTGGATCTTTTTAAAAATCCACTCAGCTATTGTATGCCTTTTGATAGAATTTAAATTGATTTACATTTAAGGTAATTATAGGCAAGGACTTACTACCGCTGTTTTGTTCATTATTCTGATTGTCTTATAGTTCTTTTTTTTCATTCTTCCTCTCTTGCTGTCTTCTTTTGTGCTTTGAAGATTTTTTTCTATGCTTTGATTCTTTCTTCTTTATCTTTTGAGTTTCTACTATAGAGTCATAACAGTCTTTTTTTTTTTTAATATAGAGAGATTTTTGCTATAGGGCATGTGCATTAGCTGTAGAGACAGAGAGATGGAAAGTGAGAAGTCACTCCCAAAGGGGAATGGCCATGCTGCAATCCCTTCTCCTCCACTCTCCTCTTGGGATTTTGGGCACTCTCACACATGCACCAGGTTGAGTTTCAAGCTGCTGAGTCTGGAATTCAAACCGCAGTTGGCCACATGGGAGTCCAGCAACGTAACTGTTACGCCATGTGTAGTCCCGTAACAGTCTATTTAAACTGATTACGACTTAACTTCAACTACATACAAAGACTCTGTATTGTAACTTTCTCCTCTCCAATTTCATGTTATTGATGTCAATTTGCCAATTGATTTTCAATAAATGTGCAAATACAATTCAATAGAATATCTTTTTCAACAAATGGTACTAGAATGCTTGGTAAATCTCTACCCATATCTCACACCATATAAGAATTAATTCAAAGCAAGTAATTTCTTATAAAGTGTAACATATAGTTATACCATCAATCCCACCCAAAATGATTTACTTAATGGAAATAAAAATAGATGTTCACACAAAAACTATATACAAATGTGTCTAGTGACTCCTAATAACCACCCCAAACTAGCAACAACTCAAACGTCTTTCAGGTGAGGAGCAGATAAACTAACTGTGACATGCCCATACAAGGGAATAGTACTCAGCAATAAAATGAAGTGAATTACTAATACAAGCGTCAACATAGATGACTTCTAAATGCATTATTCTAGGTGAAGGAATCCACATCCCAAAGGCTACACACTATATATTCACTTATCTAACATTCTTGGAAAGACAGAATTATAGGGACAGAAAACAGATCAGTGGTTGCCAGGGATTGGTGGTTGGGGAGAGAGGGTCATCACAGTGGGGCACAAGGCAATAGTTTGGGCATGATAAAACTATTCCATATCTCGACCATGGTGGTGGTTAGATGGCTTTATATGTTTGCTAAAACTCATAAAACTATATACTAAAAAGACTAAATTTTATTGCATGTAATAAACATGAGCTAAAAACAACCAAAATCCTACTGACTTTAGGATAAAGCTTAAATGCATTTATTGAATTATCAGAGACTCCTCCACAGAGATCCGATTGCAATAAGTCATGGCATAACGTCCCCTGCACTTTGCCTTCCTAAAACATGTCCCAGTTTCAAATTACTATATCACATCCCTACGTATCTGTTTCCTACTCTGCTCCCTCCGCCTTGCTGCCCTGAGAGCTCTGGAAGTCACTCTGACTCTATTGCCCAACCTCATGCTCAGCAAGCAGCAAATCTTTATTTGTTAAATGAACAAATGAGTGGGTGATTAAATGAAAAAAAATTATGGTTGAATTCTACATATTGACACTGAACATATTTTTAAAAATTATTTTATTGGTCAATAGGCAGTCTTTTTTTTTTTTAACTTTATAGACTCACTGGAGAGAAACAGAGAGAGAGGGAGAGGGAGAAAGCAACTCCCCCCCTCCCCCCAATGCAACTTGGTCACATGGCAATTTCTTCTCCATTTCTCCATCCTCCCAGCATTTGGGGCACGCATGTGCACACATCCAACGTGTTTTCAGGCCACTGGCCAGTCATGTGGGATCTGACTTCTTTAACCATTAGGCTACTGGAACACACCTACATTATTCCCTTTTTTTTTTTTTTTTAAAGAGATTTTTACCTTAGGCATGTGCACTTGTTTGAGGGAGAGAGAGAGACAGTGAGAAGGAAAGTGAGGAATCACCCCCCCTCCCTCCAGGGGATAACCACGCCACAACCTCTTCTCCATTCTCTTCCTGGGATCTTGAGCATGCATACACATGTGCTCAGCGTGAGTTTCAAGCCACTGGGTCCAGGACTTGAATCATAGTCGAGTATGGAGGAGTCCAGAAGCATAACTATTCCGCCAGCTGGCCCCTCTACATTATTTCTTAATTTCACAAAAAATTGTCCTAGATAGCAATAGTTATTATTATTATTTTTCCATAGGGTGTGTGTGCTGGCTGAAGAGAGACAGAGACACAGAGAAGAAAAGTGAGAAATTACCCCTTAAGGGGCATGACCACTCTGCATGACCACCTCCCTTATTCTCCTCTTGGTATTTTGGGCATGAACACACATGTGCCCAACGTGATTTTCCAGCCACTGAGTCTGAGACTCTAACCGCAGTCGTCCATGTGGGAGTCCAGGGCCTTAGCCACCACACCACCTGCTGGCCTCAGCAATAGTTTTTTTAATCCAAGCTAGTTGTTTCCTTATTAGTCAGACTGCCAACTTTAACTTTTTACCAACTCCCGTCCACCCACAAAAACTTCCAAAGGGTATCTTGTCTGTTCTAGGCTTATCTGTACTTTCCAGTCCAACGTCTTTGCTGCCTTCTCCCTGAAACACCATTTGGGACAAATCCTCACCCTCCGTCCATTGACTCTATAATGTGCACCCCTAGCTGGCAGTACATTCAAATGAGAATTTATAATGAATCATATAGAAGATCACACCCAGAGACCAGCAGATGGCATAATGGTTATGCTGCTGGACTCCCACATAGTCGACCGCGTTTCGAGTCCCAGACCCAGTAGCTTAAAACGCACGCCAGGCGCATGTGTGTGTGTGCCCAAGATTCTGAGAGGAGAATGGAGGAGAAGGGACTGCGGTGTGGCCATCCCCCTGAGGGGTGATTTCCTGCTTTCTGTCTCTGTCTCTCTGGCGAGCGATGCACCCTACAACAAAAACCTCTCAAAAAAAAAAAAAATGAGCACATCAATTCCAGAGGGCTTTTCGTAGAGGACATGGTTTTATTTACAAAGAGAAAACTCCCACACTCTGCTTTAGGTGGGAAGAGGTATGTGATCCTGACCCCATCTCTTTCAGATTGGCTCCTACTTTGGGGCTTCCCTCTGCTCTGTGGATGTGGATGAAAATGGCAGCACTGACCTGGTCCTGATTGGAGCCCCTCATTACTATGAGCAGACAAGAGGGGGCCAGGTGTCCGTGTGTCCGTTGCCGAAGGGGGTGAGTGTTTGCAGGGGTCTGGGCTGGGTGGGGTGTGGGTGTGAGGTAAAGCCGTCATCTGGGCTGTGCCTGGCACTTTTTCTCCCCCCCAACAGAGAGCTCAGTGGCAGTGTGAAGCTATTCTCCGCGGGGAGCAGGGCCACCCCTGGGCCCGCTTTGGGGCAGCCCTCACTGTGCTGGGGGATGTGAACGGGGACAAGCTGACAGACGTGGCTATCGGAGCCCCAGGAGAGCAAGAAAACCAGGGTGCCGTCTACATTTTTCATGGAACCTCAGGATTTAGAATCAGTTCCTCCCACAGCCAGGTGAGTCCACGTCACTGTCCTTGTCATGACAATAGCCCCTTTGCTGATCAGTCTCCCTCTAAGAGAATGTTTTAATAGCTGCCAGTTTTCCCAGGACTCCTTTCAGAACCTTCAAAAATAGTAGCATGGAACAGCAGTGGCATGGTGGTAAAGTGGCTGGATCCTACGTGGCTGACTCCATGGTTCAAGTCCCAGACCTGCTGACTTGAAAAACAAGTCAGGCACATATGTGCGCATGCCTGAAATTCCAGGAGAAGAATGGAGAAGAAGGGACTGCAATGTGGCCACCCCCTCTGGGGAGGTGGTTTCTCACTTTCCCTGGCGAGTACACGTGCCCTATAGAAAACAAAAACAAACAAAACTAATAGCACATACTTCACAGAAACCTCGAAGCCCTCGGTTCTGGATGAGTTCTTTCTACATTGGAAAGGAAGCGCATGAGGGCATTACCACCTCAGCGTTACAGATGACTAGATTAAGGCCCAGAAACTGTAAACTGCAAGCTGGAGTGTTGAGGTGTGACCCATTCTTTTCTTTTGAATCTCAGACCTGGTAGGGTGACCAAGAGTCTTGGATTTCCCAGATCTCTTCTGGGTTTAGCCTTGAAAGTTTCACGTCCTAGAAAACCTATCTAACTGGTAACAGTACAGGTGTGCATGATCGTGGCCACGTGACATAGTCAGTTACAAAGGGCCCTTTTCTCAGAGGGGCCCTGCACTTGGTTAAATGCTCTGATATTGCCATCTTGAATTCTTAGTAATTTTTGAATAAGAGATTTTTTGCATTATTCTTTTGCACTGGCCCTTGCAAATTATGCAGCTCGTGTAGATGGTTGGTCACTCTAAGTCCTGGCCCCTGTGACTAATTTCTTCCTTAAGACAGGTCCTCATTTCCTGCCATATAGAATCCACTGTTTGGAGGGACCCTCAGAATTTGGTTCCACATCACCTGTGCCCCATTCTCTCCCACCACAGCCCATGGAGGCCACCTGGTCGTCTGGCCTCTGGTCTCTGGATCTATTTCAACTTCACATTTTTCTTTATTTCTTAAGACATTTTTAGAAATTTAATTATTTATTTATTGAGAGACAGAGACCCTTTCCAGGCAGTGGTGCTCACACCACGGTCTCCTCCAGCGTCAGCTGGCCTGGATCGTGGACGTGCACACGCATTGGGCAGGAGGGAGGTCTTGGGGTGTAAACCCAGAACTGTTCCCATGGGGGTCCATTGTGTTACCACCGTGCCACCACCAGGCCCCTAAATATTTTTTATCATGGTAAGAAAACAACATGAGATCAACCCTCATAACATATATATTTTTTAATGATTAGGTGTTTTTAGAAACCTGTACTTGTAAGAGTACATTCTCTTTCCATCCTCTTTGTAAATTTTTTAAGGACATAACATTAAGATTATAGCCATAGTTAATGCTCTGACAAAAATTCATAACTGGCAAAGAAATTTGGCTATATATACCAGTTTAACCTAATAGCCTACCACCGTTAATTCCTGAGAATGTCAAATTATTTTGAAACAACGCATGTATAGACATACAAGTACAGAACATATTTATACATATAACTTAAATATAATACCAAGGAAATTAGAATGACTTAATTTGAGAATGCTTTCCATTTGTATCCAACATATAAACAATAATCCTGATTGGTTTAACATCTCCCTTTTGCATGTCTCAGGGGCCCTCTGTGAACATCCCAGAGTTACTCTGAGGTCAGAGATCCTCTGTCAGCACTAAAACTAAAGCCGGAGAAAGCTAGTCATGAACTCATTTCCCTGTTAGATATCCAATATGGAAAATGCAACACACAACACAAATACTAGTTGTTTCATTAAACCAGCCATATTAAGATAAACATGATGTTGCTTAATCAATGAAACCTAGACAAAATATATGTTGGAAATTGTGAAGACGTTCACTTATTAATCTTTTTCTTTCATTACATTTGAAGCCAGCTCTTTCACTAAAGTTATATGAACTTGAAAAGCATTTAAACTAATTTGTATGAGTGTATGAGCGTTCTTTTTATAAACCAAATTGAATGGAATTCTTTAAGGCCTTTTTTTTCCCCACACAGAGACACAGCATGTAGTATGTAACCTGACATATTACATATATGGATTCATACACATATCATGATTATAAGAACCAATTTCCCTGGAGTTACTTTGACATTAATACTCTTTAGAGTAATCCCCTTTTTAAAATTTTTTATTTATTGTAATTATTTTTATTATTTTATTTTATTGACATTGACCAGAGAAAGACAGGGAGAGAGAAGGAAAGTGAGAAAGCAAGCTGCCAGGTCCGGGCCGCAAACCACAGGAGTCCAGCTGCCTTAACCACCAGGCCATCTGCCTGCCCCCTAGAGTAACCCCCTTTCTTGAAATTTTTAATTATATACTCGAGGAAGGTGGGTTTTTAACTTTTTCTTGCCTATACCACTAGAGTCTCAAAAGCCTACACTTCCCAGAAGGCTCGGGAGATCACTGGTTGGAAGAAGTGATCCATGAGGAAACTCTGGAGGGATGGCAGCTTCTGGGGGTGGGCCTTAACCCAGAAGCTCAGAAGCTGTGCAGCCTCCTGGGGGCGCTGCTGAATAGGCCAGGCAGTGCAGGCGATAAGTTTGTTCAAGTTTTGCAGGAGGGCCTTGGCCAAGGGCTGCAATCAGAAGGACCACAGCGGTCTCTCTGGGTTCCACCCTCTCGGTATTCCAACGGTGGATACCGCGGAAACGCAGTTAAACAGACCTAACCATGCTCTGTAGGGAGAAGCCGCGGAGCCACAAACACATTCACTCGTCACAAACACTCACATTCATTCAGAGGTTATACATTGCCTCCCCACACCAGCCATACACACCGGATTACCAGAGCTGGCCACGAACCAGCCAATTACCAGATGAGCCCTAACTGCTGGTCTTGCGACCAAAGGAGAGTGTATGGGTCTTCTCTTCCATGCAAATCGAGTGGGTCTGACTAGAGCTCTACAGATCCTCGGGGGCTTACCTGATTACCAGAGTTGACCAAGGTTGATGCAACAGGTTCCAGGAGTGGTTCCTTCTCTCCAATTGGAGTCTGGTGATCCAGCAGTGCTTGGCCTCAAGGCAGGCACCCCCACTGAGATGGGGGTGTGCCTATCTCACCACACTGTAATGCCCATCCCATCCCAGGGAGAAACACCCTGGGATCGGTGGCTCAAAGGGCCAGTCTGTTTCTGTTTCCTGGCCAATGCACCAAAATGTTGCAGAAAACTAGATGCCGAGGAATGGGAAACAGCCCTCAGAGAGATGAGGAGAACTGTTTATTACGTCAGCGGGCGTGGAGGAGTTAACACTCAAAATCTCCAGCCCTCATAACATATTTTTAAGTGTACAGTTTAGTATTGTTACCTACTGGCACAATGTTGTATGGCAGATTTCTAGAACTTACTTATCCTGCATAACAGAAATTTTGTACCCATCAAGTAGCAATTTCTCATCTCCCTCCCTCTCTAGCCCTGGCATCCACCATTCTATTCTTTACTTCTATACGTTTGCCTATGTTAGATAATGCATGTAAATGGAAGAGAGTAATGTTGGTTTGACTGGCTTCTTTCACTTAAAATAATGTCTTCCAGGTTCTTCCATGTTGTCACAAATGGCAGAATATATCTCTCTTGTATAAAGCTAAATCTAAATGATTGACTATATATGCCACATTAAAATAATCCATTTTTTGGGAACCAGCAGTTAGCGTAATGGCAATGTTGCTGGACTCCCATGTAGTCGATCGCGGTTCACGTCCCGGATCCGGTGGCTTAAATCTCACACCGGGCGCATGTGCGTGCGTGCCCAAGATTCCGAGAGGAGAATGGAGGAGAAGGGATTGCGGTGTGACCATCCCCCCTGGGGGGTGATTTCTCGCTTTGTCTCTATGTCTCTCTCTCTCTGTCTGGCGAGTGCACGCGCCCTATAGTGAAAATCTCTCCAAAAAAAAAAAAATTCAATTTTTGAGTAGCCATTTAAGTTTGTTTTCACGTCTTGGATATTATGGATGATGCTACATGAAAATGGGTATGCTAATATTTATTCAAAACTCCTGATTTTTTTTTCCTGGCACGAGAAATGAGGATTTTTAAAAATTTGACCTAAAGTTGGGGCCAGCAGATGACTTAATGGTTACATTGCTGGACTCCTTCATAGTTGATCGTTGTTCGATCCTCAGACCTGGTGGCTTAAAACTCACACTAGGCGCCTCTGTATGCATGTCCAAAACCCCAAGAGGAGAAGGAATTGAGGTGTGGCCATCCCCCTGGGGGATGATTTCTTGCTTTCTGTCTCTCTGGCGAGTGCAAATGCCCTAGAGCAAAATCTCTAAAAATAAATAATAAATTGTCTTAAAGTCACTGAAGTAAAAATCATGATAAAACTGGGACCAGCAGTTGGCACAGTGGCTGTGTTGCTGGACCCCCATGTAGTTGACCACGGTTTGAGTCCTAGACCCAGTAGCTTAAACTCATGCTGGGCGCATGTGCATGCATGCCCAAGATCCCAGGAGAAGGGATTGCAGCATGACCATCCCCCCTGGGGTGTGATTTCTCGCTTTCTATTTCTCTGTCTTTCTGGCGAGTGCACGTGCCCTATAGCAAAAACCTCTCAAAAAAAAAAAAAAATCATGATAAAACATTCTGCTGACCTTTACAATTCTTCAACTCACATACACAAAAGCCAACATTATTTTTATGGAAAAAATGTTTTTGTACATGGAATGCAACAGTATAAACTCAAAATTTACAGATAAGGGTTAACTCTATTGCTCATCCCTTTAAAACGTTTATATGAATATTCAGTCAAAACCAACAAGACTATCTCCCTTGAAACATTATTTCTATGTCTTTCCGAGTAGGCCCCAGGACTGCACACTGTCTTGGTTTAATTTTGGGGGGTAAATATCCAGAAGTAGGATTGATGGATCAGATGGTAGCTATATTTTTAGTTTTTTGGAGGGACTTCCCTACTGTTTTCCAGAGGGAATCCACCATTTTGCTTTTCCACCCACAGTGTGTAAGGTTCCAATTTCTCCACATCTTTGCCAACACTTGTCTTTTTTTTTTTTTTAATTTGCCAGAGGGCACATGTGTTAGTGAGAGAGAGAGAGAGAGAGAGAGAGGGAGGAAGAGCCTTAGAGGGGAAGCAAGAAAACTCCCTAATGGGGCATGGTCACATCATTACCATTTTCTCCATTTTCTTCCATTTCTCTCCTGTCAGGAGTTCACCCTGCTTATTTTCTTCCTTCCTTCCTTCCCTTCCTTCCTTTCTTTCTTTCTTTCTTTTTGTAGAGATTTTTGCATTAGGGTGTTTGTGTTTGCCAGAGAGAAAGAGAGAGAGACAATGAGAGGGAAATTGAGAAATCATCTCCCAGGAGGAAAGACCAAGCTGCAATCCCTTCTCCTCCAATCTCCTCCCAGATCCTGGGCATGCACGTACACATGTCTGGTGTGAGTTCAAGCCACTGGGTCTAGGTCTTGAACCACAGTCAACCATGTAGGAGTCTAGTGACATAACTATACCATCTGCCAGCTGCTACCCTGTGTATTTTTCAACCTGCCAGGTCTGGAGCTCAAACTGTGTGGTTAGCCATGTAGGATACAGCTGGCTTAACCACCAGGCCACAGGCTTTGCCTTTTTTATTTTTAATGTAAAACAAATTAATATTTATTTATTTACTACAGGGTACGTGCACTCACCAGAGAGAGAGAGAGAGAGAGAGAGAGAGGAGGCACCTCCTAATGGGGCTGGTCATGCCCCAGTCCTTTTTCTCCCAGTTATCCATCCTATCAGGATATTATAACGCATGTGTATATGTTCCGCATGTTCTCGTGGCACTGGAGCCCGGACTTGAACTGCAGCTGGCCACCTGGGATCTTGGTCCCAACATGCAGCACTTAACCACTGTGCTGTGGGGTTGGCCTGACAGTGTCTTATAAAATATAAAAATGATTTTAAAAGTTTATTTACTTATTTCTTCCTTGAGTGAGAGGGGCAGAGAGAGCGAGAACCCCTAACAGGGTCTTGACACTGTGATGCACGCTCCAGCCTCAGCCAGCTAACTTAGGGTTTCAACTTTTTGTTGTTGTTGTTATGGTGGTTGTTTACAGTTCCTTGAGGTATAAAATTTGGTTGTTTATTTAAGATGATTCTTTTCTTTAAATGCAGGTGTTTATTGCTATTGCTGATTTGAGTATTGCGACTTGACCCCCAGTGTGGCCGTCTAGGGAGATGGGGCCTAATGGAGTGTTCGGGACCCGTGTGAACAGATTAAGGCAGCCTCGGTTTTCCCTACGAGTCCCCGTGAGAGTGGGTTGTTAGAAAAGAGTCTGTCGCTTTCAAGTCTCTCTCTGTCCCTATATATGTACCTGCTGTCCCTCCTGCTTCTCTCTGCCATAGCACCAAAGATTTTGAATGACTTCTAAAGATGTTTTCTTTGTGGCTACCATGGGACCCACATGAAATATCTCATAATGGTCTCTTTAAGCTGATAACAACTTCCCTTGAATTGCATGTACTCCACATCTTACCTTCCCCGAAACATACGCCTAGTGCTATTGGTTCACAATTTACGTGTATTGATATTGTGCGTCTATTAACATATTTTTAAAGTTACAGTTATTTTTAACATTTTTTGTGTGAACCCGTGGTCAGCCATGTGGCTTCCGCACTACAGTTTAGTATGCTACTTGCTACACCACCAAAGCTTGAACTTTTGTTTAAAATCACATTTCTTTTCTTTTCTTTTTTAGTTTTTGCTGTGGGGGCTCATGTACTCATTGGAGATGGAGAGAGAGAGAGAAAGTACTCCCCAGCGGGGATGGCCACACCGCAATCCCTTCTCCTCTGTTCTCCTCTGGGGATTTTGGGCACGCACGCACATGCACCTAGTGTGTTTCTCAAACTGCCAGGTCTGGGACTTGAACCATGCAGCTGGCCATGTGGGATCCGGCTGCCTTAATGACCACTCCACTGGCTGGCCCTCTGTAAAACTTTTCGAAATTCATGTTACTTCATGTAAAAGTTGATTATCATCTTGAGGATGTGGTCTAAAGATGAAAAAGTCCTTGTTAAAGTCTAAGTTGCCCAATTCCTTGATAAGCGGTGGGAGATGAGTCTCGTGTGACCACAGAGCACCTCGACCTGGGTCACCTTTGATGAACGAGCTACCTACTTCCCGATTCTTTCTTGATCCCCTTTTCTCCTTCTCTTTTCCACCCTCAGCGCATTGCAGGCTCCCAGCTAACCCTTGGGCTCCAGTACTTCGGTCAGTCATTGAGCGGGGGCCGGGACCTCACGATGGATGGACTGGCGGACCTGGCTGTGGGGGCTCAAGGGCGTATAGTACTGCTCAGGTGAGGATTCCTTTTGGAGCACAGCAGGTTTCTCCTTGAATGAGTGTGTGTGTGTGTGTGTGTGTGTGGTGTTGCTCTTTGTTTTGTTTTTGTTTTTGCTGTCTGAAGCTCCCTGATGGTCCTCTGATGACCTTACAGGTCCCAGCCAGTACTAAGAGTTGATGTGACCATGGACTTTACACCCAGACAAGTGGCAAGAAATGTGTTTGAGTGTAGTGAACAGGTGGTGAGAAACCAGGCTGCTGGGGAGGTCAGAGTCTGCCTCCGTGTCCGCAAGAGCACGCGGGATCGTCTCAGAGAAGGTGAGGCTTGGTGGGTAAGTCTCAAGAGGCTGAATGACTGGGGACGTTGCTGGGTGGCTCAGTCCAGCCTGCCTAGCCTTCTGGAAGTCCAGAACAAAGTTCTCTTTGGCTCTGACAGCCTCCTCCAAGCTTGGCGAGCTGGGTGGGGAAGGTCAGCAAACCTCACCAAAGAAGTGAGCCTGTGGGTCTCCCTTACTCTCTCCATTCTCCAGAGAACCAAGACCCCACACCTGAAAACAAACCAGGTTTTTTGCTTGTTGTTTGTGTTTGTTTATTTGTTTTTAACTGAGAGATATTCTATTTGGAGAGATTGAGCTGATGGAGTAAACTCAAATGCACAAAGCATTCAGAAATGCTTTTTACCACTGGTAACAGGACCTCCTCCTTTGTCCCTGTCCTCAAGAATGGAATTGTGCTAGGCGTAGAGGAACAGCAATGGCAGTATGGGAAAGAAACAGGAAGAGGAGACGACATGCTCTTTCCGACAGCAGTCTTGGGCTAAGGAGCCAGCACTCTGAGACTGGGGCACCTAGCATGGCTAGATATCAAGAGCAAAGTCTTAGAGCAGGGAGTTACAGAGACATTACCCCAAGAGCTACATAGAAATTCCTCTCAAGTCACTGGTTGACTCTGTGGCTGTGGCTGTCCCAGTCAGTATTACAAGAAATCCAGTAGAAAACAGCACTGAAGGACTGAGTGGAAAATTTAGCAGCTTCCCAGTGTTGGGGAGACAAAGATTTGAGAGGAGCTTTGGTAAAAACACTTGGTCTCTCCATTGAGGCATCTGGTCAGCAACCAAGAGAAACAATGGACAATAGAAAGAGACCTACAGATAATTAGAAATTAGAGTGATTGGATAAGAATTTTTAAAAACTACAATTATATCTTCAAAAGGAGAAGATGGGGAACCAGCAGTTAGTGTAATGGCTATGTCGCTGGACTCCCACATAGCCGACTGCAGTTCACGTCCCGGGCCCGGTGGCTTAAAACTCATGCCGGGCGCGTGTGCATGTATGCCCAAGATCCCGAGAGGAGAATGGAGGAGAAGAGATTGCGGTGTGACCAAACACCCCGGGGGGAGATTTCTCGCTTTCTGTCTCTATGTCTCTCTCTGTCTGTCTGACAAGCGCACACGCCCTATAGCGAAAACCTCTCCCCCCCCACAAAAAAAGGAGAAGATGGAGAAGTTGAGTGAAGTCCTGGAACTCATAAAATAGATTTAGATGAAAACTTAGCACTGAAAAATTCAATAACTGAAATTAAGAATTTAATACATAGTTTAACAGCAGACTAGAAGCAGAACAGGGATTCATGAAGTGAAAGACAAGTCAAAGTATTTAGATTAACACAGAGAGAAAAAAAAGGATGAAAGATGTAGAAAAAGTGAAGAAACATGTGAGATACGATGAAAGATCTCACAAATATGTCATTAGAATTCCAGAAGGAGAGAACTGAGCAATAGTTAAAGAAATAATGACAAGATGGGACCAGTAGATGGTGTAATGGTTACATCACTGGACTCCCATGTAGTTGACCATGGTTCAAGTCCTGGACCCAGTGGCTTAAATTATGCTCTGTGTGAGTGTGTGCATGTGCCCAAAATTCTGAGAGGAGACTGGAGGAGAAGAGATTAAGGCATGGCCATTCCCCAGGGGGGTGATTTTTCACTTTCGGTCTCCCCCTCTCTCTGTATTTCCGGTGAGTAAACACACCCTATAGCAAAAAAGAAAATAAGCTCTAAAAAAAAATAGTGATAAGAATTTCCCAAAACTAATGAAAGACATCAATATCTTTACAAAATTAAAACAGGATAAATATAAAGGAAATCATACCAAGATAAATTATAATCAAACTTCTGAAGACCAAAGACAAATAGAAAAAAAAATGAACAGGAAAATACAATTAATTTTTCTAGTATTCTAGTATGTAACAGAATAGTTACCATTAATAGAGGACTTCCTGTGTGGCAGGCATTGTGCTAAATGCTTTATAGGCACTATTTTATTTATTTTTCACCACCGGGAAATATAATCATTACTGTCACTTTAAGACATTGAGACGCAGAGAGGTCAGATAATATGTCCAAAGTCACAGAGCAGAGGAGCTGGGTCTCAGACTCCCGTCTGTCTGATGTCAAGGCCCAGGCTCTCACCACCATGCTGCCCTGACCTTTCAGGAGACATCCAGAGCACAGTCACGTACGATCTGGCTCTGGACTATGGCCGTTCTAATCCCCGTGCCATCTTTGATGAGACAAAGAACAACACCCGCAGACGAACAGAGATCTTGGGGCTGACACAGAAGTGTGAGACCCTGCAGCTACAGTTACCGGTGAGCAGGCAAGCCGCCAGATCCTTGGGTCCTCCAAGACTGTGGTGGGCTTGGGCAGCTGGGAAGGGGCGATCCCCAAATCCCTGCTCTCTCTCAGGATTGTGTTGAAGAGTCCGTGAGCCCCATTGTCCTGCGCCTCAACTTCTCCCTGGTGGGGAATTCCTTGCCTTCTTTGGGGAATCTTCGGCCGGTGCTGGCTGTGGATGCTCAGAGACACTTCACAGCTTTGGTGAGTCCCGGTGCGAGGGTCCTGCAGGGAGTGGAAGCAGCCGGAGGCCAAGCTTACTGAACCTCATTGAATGCTCTTTAGAATAATTTAATGTTGTTGTTTCATTTCACATTTCACTATTTCCTTTCCTTCTTTTGCATCCTACTCTGTTTCAGTTTCCCTTTGAGAAGAACTGTGGCAGTGACAGCATCTGCCAGGATGACCTCAGCATCACCTTCAGCTTCATGAAGTGAGCTTTTTCCTTATTGCCTTCTCCAACCTGCAGCATGGCCCGGGGCTCTGCTCTCTGGTGCCTGAGGAGGCCTGGCACGGAGCAGCCCTTTTGCGGGCGTTTGCTTGCCACATATCCCTCGTGGCTTCCCCATCTGCTGCCATCTCTCTCCAAGTACCTGTGCCTCCTTTCGGATTTGGCATAGAGAAGCCCTCAGCAGCTCATGGCTGGCCTTGTTCTCCGCACAGCTTGGATGCCCTAGTGGTGGGTGGTCCTCGAGACTTCAATGTGACGCTGACTGTGAGAAATGACGGCGAGGACTCCTACGGGACTCAGGTCACCTTCTTCCACCCGCCAGGCTTGTCCTTTCGGAGGGTGTCAGGGATCCAGGTAACCAGCTCCTTCTTTGGCTCCATCTGATGTGTGCTTTGCTCATCCGCATGGCTGCTGGTTGCCGTTACCACCTCTGCCTCCCTCACCTTCCAGAACCAGCGTTCACAGCGATCCTGGCGCCTGCCCTGCGAATCTGTCTCCTCCACTGAAGGGCTTGGAGCCTTGAAGAGCACCAGATGCAGCGTAAACCATCCCATCTTTCCAGACAACTCAGAGGTCAGAATTGTGGGCTCCTCTCCCTCTGTCCTTTGTCTTCTGGGGTGCTCTTCTCCTTTTATCAGTAGAGGTATGTTTTTGGTTTTGTTTTTTAACTTGCCAGAAGGCTTGTGCACTCACTGGAGAGAGAGGAAGTGGGAAAGCACCCCTCAGGGGCATGATCGTGCTGCAGCCTCTTCCTCTCTACTTCCCCTTCTCCTTGGACTTCTGAGTCACATACACATGTACCCGGCATGTTCCTCAAGCTGCCGGGTCCCAGATTTGAACCACGTGGTCACCCATGTGAGATCCAGCCATCTTGACCACCATGCCACTGGCTGGCCCAGCAGAGGTTCCTTCTCCCAAAAAAGCTTTATTGAGATACAGTTCACATCCCGTACAACTTATTCATTTAAACATACAACCCAGTGCCTTTTAGTCCATTCACAGAGTTGTACATCTGATATTATGATCTATTTTTTAAAAGTTATTTGTTGAATGACTGTTACTGTTTTTCCAATTGCCAGAGGGTATATGCACTCACCTGGGAAGGAGAGAGACAGAAAGCACCCCCAGCAGGTGTGGCCACGCTGTCATCTCTTCCTCTCCATTTCCCCAGCCTGTCAGGATTTTGATCACTCACACATCTGCACCTGGGATGTTTTTCAGGCTGCCAGGGCTGGAACTTAAACTGCCAGCAGCCACATAGGAACAGACCCACATGCAATATTGAGACTCTGAACCACTAGGCTATGGGGTCGGCCCAACTATTAATTTTTTAAAAATTCATTTGTTTATCTATTTATTTTGTTGTGCTGCCAGGTTTGGAATTTGAGCTGTGGTTGGCCATATGGGAGTCCAGGGCCTCAACCAACACACCATCATAGTCCCCCTACTATTAATTTTTATTCGTTTATTTCTTTAGAGTAAGAGAGACAAGGAGAGAGATAGAGAGCACCCCCAACAGGGTCTTGATGCTGTGATCTGTCCCCAGCCTTTGGCCAGTCCTTGACCACAGGCATGTGTGTATCTGGTATACTTAGGGAGGTCTCTGGACTTGAACCAAGAACCTTCTCGAGTAGGATCACCTTCCAGAGTATCGTGTTTCACTTCTGAGTTCCCAACTTTAGAACATCTTCATCACCCCCAATCTTAACCATCAGCCTCCCATCTCCCCCAGCTTTAGGCAACCACTAATCCACTGTCTCTGGACGTTTGTTCCTTCTGGACCTTTCCTGTAAATGCAATCATACATGTAGTCTTTGGTGACTATCTTCTTTCACTTAGCATGTTTTCAAGGATCATTCATGTGGAAGCATGTATCACTACCTAATTTCTTTTTATTGCTGAACAATACTCTGTTGTATGGCTGGACCACATTTTATTTAGCCATTCAACGGATGGACATTTGAGTTGTCTCTTCTCTCCTGTTCTGACCACTGTCTGTCCTTTCTCCAACTCTAGGTCACTGCTAATGTCACATTTGATGTGGACCCTACTGCTTCTCTTGGAAACAAACTGCTCCTCAAGGCCAACGTGACCAGGTGCACAGCGCTGACCTTCCGCAAGCATCCTCCTCTTTAAGGCCTCAACTCCTTGCCCAGGATTGGCCTTTGTCCTCTCCCCACTGATTCTCCCTTCACTTCATGTGTTCATTCAACAAACGCTGAGCACCCTCCAGGGGCCAGGCATTGTGTTGAGTGCCAGTGGGACAGTGGTGGGTGAGACCCTCACAGATATTACACCTTACTGGCAAAGACAGACAGGAAAACTGGTGATTGCAATGCAGCGTGACAAACACGATTAGATGGCAATGTCCAGTGTTGGGAGCTTGGTGTTCAGAGATGATTCCCAAAGAAAATGTGCGTGGGCCATGAGCTAGCCTAGCAAAGACATGAACGAGGGTAGGCACGATGACAGAGAGAAGGAAGCACGTGGCAGGCCAAGCCTGAGGCTGGAAGATCAGCATTGTTGGAGAATGGTTCACACACATAATGCGGCCTCGAGGAGTCAGTGTGATTAAATATGGGCTGTGTCCCCAAAGGACCGAGGGTGGTGTTAGAGAATTTGCAGTTTAACCTACGGGGATGGCATAATTGTATCTGCATGTTAGCAAGATCATTCCTCAGGCGGGTTGGGGATGAGGGTGGGGTGGCTTTGAATTCTGGGGCCAGTAAGAGGAAGAGGATGGACCTGGCTAGCTGGCAGTGGGGCTTAGAGAACAGTGTTGTTGACGGTGAGGAGACAGCAGGACTTGGTGATTCACTGGGGGCAGAGCCAAGGGAGAGGGAGGAAAGGGCTAGTTCTCAGTTCTCAAGAGCTGGCTGGAGCTCTCTCTTTCTCTTCAGTGAGAACAACATGCCCAGGACCAACAAAAGTGAATTCCAACTGGAGCTGCCCGTGAAATACGCTGTCTACATGGTGGTCACCAGGTGCCAGCCTCCGGGGTGTGAGCTGAGCCTTCACGACTGGGCTGCATTCTGTGTGTCTGTGTGTGTGAGTCTGTGCTTGTGTTTGTGTGTGCACATGTGTGCTTGTGTGTGTGTCTGAGGAGCTATGTGTGTGTGAGTGTGTGAGAGTGTGAGTGTGTGAGTGGCCCAAACCAGCACATCACTCCCTGCACCCCATCCCCACCTCCTTAGGGTGCCATTACCCATGTTCCTGTTCACTCCTGACCCGCTTAGCCCCAGACCCCTTCCAGGACCCACCTCATGTTCTATCGCCTCCTTCCCCCTTTTTTCTCCCTTCAGCCAAGAGTTCTCTACCAAATATCTCAACTTCACTGCTTCAGAGAAGGCGAGTAAGGTTATGCAGCATCACTACCAGGTGGGGAGCTGGGGACTTCTGGGTGCTGAGGAGGAGGCTGGGGAGGGAATGATGGGAAGAGAATACAGAAACAATGATGGGAAACATGCGCGAGGTGTCTGCTGTGGTGGGCATGGTTCCAAGCTTGCTCTCACTCTGTACACACGCCGTCACACACACACTTATGTGTACACGTGTGCATACGTAATGAACTCCTTTTGCCTTCATAATGATGCTGTGAAGCATTATTGTTATCCTCAGTTTACAGATGGAGACGCTGGGCTCAGAGGGGTTAATGAACATGGTATTCAAAAATGGAAGGGTCAGGACTTAACAGCAGCCTGTCTGGTCCCCGAGTATGTGTTTACACTCCACTGCCCTCCAGAAAGGGGCTGGACCTTGGGCCTGTGAGGTGTCCTGGGTTGTAGGCAGTGGGGAGGGTGATTCTTGGAGCTGGTGGTGGCAGAAAGGCCAGAGCCCTGATCCCTCCTCCCACCCTGGCTAGTTCAACAACCTGGGGCAGAGGAGCCTCCCCATCAGCGTGGTCTTCTGGGTTCCAATCCGGCTGAGACAGGAGACCATATGGGATCGCCCCCAGATCACCTTCTTCCCGGTGAGTCCAGCCGGGTCCGAGAAGTGGTCCGAACTCCTCTCTCCGTAGCCCCAATTTTCCCTAAAATTGCTGTCTATTTCCTTGGGCCGGTTGAGACCCTCTCCTGGACCCCCACTGTCACGTTGTTGCAGATGGGCCGGAAGTTACTCGCCCCCACCCCCTTCTCACAGGGTCTCTCCTTTCTCAGGACCTCTCGCATAGGTGCCACTCTGAGGAGAGGGCCCCCCCTCACTCTGACTTCCTGGCTGAGCTTACGAAGACTCCAGTGGTGGTGAGAAGAGGCCTAACCCCAGCCTCAGGGGCACACGCGGACCCAGCACGGTCCCCTCATTGGTGCCGAATATGGTGACTGAGGGTTGAACGCACGGGGACACTTCTGCATCTTCCTTAGTCACCTCCCTCCCCGTTCCCTTCCGCAGAACTGCTCCATTGCTGTGTGCCATAGAATCCAGTGTGACATCCCGCTCTTCACCATCCAGGACGAATTCAACGTCTCCCTCACAGGCAACCTCTCGTTCGACTGGTATATCCAGGTGCGTGGTCCTGAGCCTTTGCCAGGCACAGATACGGTGCTGCTGAGTCCCCAGATTCAGCTCCCACCCCACTCTCTTCACAGACTTCGCATAACCACCTCCTGGTTGTGAGCACAGCAGAGATCTTGTTCAACAACGCGATGTTTGCCGTGCTTCCAGGACAAGGGGCATTTGTGAGGGCTCAGGTATCTGTCTCGGGCTCCGAGGGAGGGAAGAGGGGAGGCTCTGGGCTTGTAGAGATCTTGTGGGGAGGGTGTGGAAGAGAGAGACAAAGGGGAGAAGAGGGAGGAGGAGGTGGGGGGTGGAAGAGTGAGGTTAGCATGTCGGGATGTAGGGAGGGGCTGGTTGTTGGGTTCAGGAAAAGCCCAGGTCCAATTTAGGGGGAACCCCAGAAATCCAGAGTCCGTCTCCTTCATCCTCTTCCTCCCCCAGACGGAGACCAAAGTGGAACCATATGAAGTGCACAACCCCCTGCCGCTCATCGTGGGCAGCTCCATCGGGGGGCTGGTGCTGCTGGCTCTCATCACGGCTGGACTGTACAAGGTAGCCTCGCTGGCCCTCTCTTCCTGCCCATTGCCCCTACCGCCCCCGCTCAGCAGTTCCTTCCGGTAGGTCGACCCCCCAGTGTGGTTATTAGTGCAGCCTTGGGAAGTGACAGAGCCTCTCTGCCTCAGTTTCTCCACCTATAAACTGAGCATATCAGTACCCATTTTGTGGAGGTGATTGGGTTAACATCAAGGAAGTGCTTAGAATGACCCCGGCACAGAATTACCCCCAAACAAGGGGCAGTTCTTCTTCTTTTTTTTCTTTTTTTTTGGGAGAGGTTTTTGCTATAGGGCGCATGCGCTCGCCAGAAAGACAGAGAGAGACAGACAGAAAGTGAGAAATCACCCCCCGGGGGGATGGTCACGCTGCAATCCCTTTGCCTCTTTTCTCCTCTCGGGATCTTGGGCACGTACGCACACGCACCCAGTTTGAGTTTAAGCTGCCGAGTCCACGGTTTGAGTTAAACCTGCCGAGTCCAGGACTCGAATTGCGGTTGACTACACGGGAGTCCAGCGACATAGCCATTACGCTAACTGCTGATCCCGAGGGGGCAGTTCTTTTTGTGTTTTACAATTTCTTGCTGTCCCTGACTGCTAGTTCCCTCCCTGCCCCACTTTTCCGCTCTGACCATACCCCTCTGTCTCTGCCCCTCAGCTTGGCTTCTTCAAACGGCAATACAAGGATATGATGAGTGAAGCTGGTCCCCAAGCGGAACCACCCCAGTAATGGCTCCTTCTCCACCCCAGAGTGCCTCTTCTGCAGCAAGCAGGACTTTGGTCAAACCAACATGCGGGTCCCCAGGCTGCTGGACAGACTTGTTCACTAGGGGAACTGGAGCTCCACTGTCTCACTGTGGAGAGTCAGGCTTGGGCTTCCATTTGTGTGTGTGTGTGTGTGTGTGTGTGCGTGCGTGAGTCTGTGTGAGCTGTGCGTGTGACTCAGACGCTCGTCTCAGGCATAGGGAGTTGTTTGGGCGTCTCGTGTGTGGGTGAAGATGCTGTCGGGCCTTCCTCCAGGAGAGATGATAGCAGCTCTCGTGGTCGAACATAAAGGGATGTGCAGCAGATCCTCTCCCTTCGTGGGCCAGCATACAGACTCCAGGAACCTGTGTCGCTGGGCCTCGGGCTCCATGGAGAAGCTATGGGTGGAGCCAGGAGCTCATCAGCCACCTGCACCCTGCTGACTCCCATTCCACACTAGAACGGACGGGCCCAATAAAGATGTCCGATGAGGAACGCCATACCTCCCTCCATCTGTTCATTTATTAATGTTACTTTTATTTTTGGAATTGATAAACCTGTCCAGAGTACAAAACTCAAAAGGCATTCCAGGGGTATGGTGAAAAGTCTCCTTCACCAGTTAGTCAAGCTCCCTCTTAGGGGAAGTCAACATGATGCCTTTTGGGGTCTCCTTCAGAAAGATGGTAGGCATGTACAAACGCACACACGCACACAAACTTCTCTCACAAACTGTTGCATACGCTATACTGTTCAGTGTCTCAGGCTTCCCCTTACTACGCTCGGACATCGCGATACAGATGCCTTCTTCGGTCTTTTATACAGCGGCAGAGGATTCCGTCGTGCGGATGTATCCTAAGGTGGTTAGCTAGTCTCCTTTTGGTGTAGGATTTCCAACCTCTTGCTATTACAAATAATGTTGAATTAATAAATTGAAGAGAGATTGTTTTTGCATGTGTGTAAGAATGATTTACAGGACATATTTCTAAAGTTTATGTCCCCAGGACAAGAACTAGAGTGAAAGAAGGGAATTTCAGAGGTGGCCCCAGGAAATGCTGTTAAGGGAGGGGAATAATCCAAGGAAGAGAAAGCGGCCCGTAGTCAGTGTGTTATCAACAGAAGCACCACTATGAGCCCGCACTGGGGCGTCCTGGGTGACAGCGTCAAACTCACACCTCAGAGTTACCCACCCAAGAGAAGGGACCGGAGTATGTGTACACTGATTCCTCCTGATTACTGGCTAAGGGCTGCTCTTGGTGGGGAGAGAAGTTCTACTTCCAGCTTGCCCTGAATGGCCAGAGAAGGAGATACAGATGTCGCCAGTTGGAACCCTGTCAGGCTCACGGGCCTTCAAGGGGGGCGGGGACATATGCTACCAAGGGTGTGTGCAGATGTTGTGATGGCAGTTTCCAGGTGGCCCTCGCTCCTCGGGGAGTATCCCTAGTGCCTACTACGATTCCTTTGCCAAAACCGTAACCACTGCTCAGACCTTAATGTGATCCTAGTTCTCACACTGGCCTGATAAGCGGCTGCCACTTGCTCTTCATCTTTACCTGCATTTCACTATGAGGCGGACTGGCCCTACAGCCTGCGGGCTAAGGGAGCCAGATCCCACATGGCCAAACATGGTTGAGATTCCGGCTCAGTGGCCTGGAAAACACACCAGGTATGTGTGTGTGCATAGACCCCGCATCCTGACAGGGTGACAAAAGGAGGAGAAGGGATGTCGTATGACCATGCCCCATTGGGAGGTACTCTCTCTCTCTCCCTCTCTGTCTCTCTCTGGTAAGCACACACACCCTCTAGCAATGAAAAAAAATATCACGAAGAGGAAACTGAGACTTGGCTAGATTATAACAGTTACCTGAGGTAACACGGATAAGAAGAGGATTAAATCCCAGTTCTGTCTGCGTCTGGCTCTGAAGCTTTTCTCCCTGTCTTGACGGCCACAGAATAGCCCAGCAGCAGGCATGAGGGAGTGGGTGGCTGGATGCCTGTCACTCAGCTGTTATAATATTAGTTTGAACCATATGAAATTGGCAACATGTTTCTTGACAAAAATGGCAATTTCGTGATGCTCATTGAAACACAGGAAAATCATGAGTTAGACGTGGCAGGTGGGAGGGATGAGAAGGAAGGGTCCCTAAGAGAGGTGACACCATAAAGTAGAGGCGGACGTTTTTCTAGACAGAGGGAAGCATGTTTTATCCAAAGCACAGTAAGATGTCATTGAAAGGGGACTAACAAGACAATGGCCCTTTGTTTCCTGGCGGGGGGGCACAACACATGGTCACCTCTAGACGGTTTTACACAATCTCCTCCCCTGACTTAAAAATAAAATCTGTTAAGAAGTTTTTTTCTCTGAAGTTGGAAGATAAAAGTCCTCACCATCCCCAGTCCTAATAGATTCAGGAAGGGAGAGGGCTCCTGTACCTGCTGTCACCTGTCCTTGCTCCAGTAGTGAAGGTCCTGTGGGTTCAGGGTCCAAATCGGCATCTTTGAATCAGAAGCTTGGGACGAATTCAGCCAGATAGGAGCTTTATGATGGGCTAGAAAAGTAAATAATTTCTAGTGACAAATGACCCTAGTATAACCACACAAGTTACCAATTCACAGGGCCATAAATCTCTGGTGATAAGCATTCGACCTAGGAAATCCTGCCCTAGTTTTTATTTTGGAGGTCTCTTACTTCAGAATAATAAATCCCTTCAGCATCCATCTTCCTTTTTCTACTTAGTAATAGAGTTCTTATCTGGGCCCCCTTAGTAGAGTGTTACCATTCCTGGCCCTACTCCTTGGTAATGTGAAACTGAAACTCCCATCCAATGGTGGAGCCCATTTCTCTACCTTCTTGAGTTCAAACTTCTCTTTGATCAATAGAATATGGTAGAATTGTATGACTTCTGGAGCCTGGACCTTAAAAAGCATTGCAGCTTCTTTTTTTTTTTTTTTTAAAGAATTATTTTATTTAACTTTATTTATTATTATTATCATTATTATTTTCCAGTTTGATCAGAGAGACACAGAGAGAGAGAGAGGAAGTGAGAAAGCAAGCCACCAGGTCCGAGACTTGAACTGTGGTCGGCCATGTGGGAGTCCAGCGCCTTTAACCACCATGCCACTTGCCGGCCCCAGCAGCTTCTTTTTTTTTTAAAGAATTATTTAATTTTATTCATTCACTCATTCATTCATTTTTCTATTTTTTTTTTTTTTTGGAAAGAGTTTTTGCTATAGGGCGTGTGCACTCACCAGAAAGACAGAGAGAGACAGAGAGACAGAAAGTGAGAAATTACCCCCCGGAGGGATGGCCACGCTGCAATCCCTTCTCCTCCATTCTCCTCTCTGGATCTTGGGCACGCATGCACACACAGGCCCAGCATGAGTTTAAGCCACCAGGTCCGGGACTCGAACTGTGGTTGACTATGTGGGAGTCCAGCGACACAGCCATTACGCTAACTGCTGGCCCCCATTCATTCATTTTTAATCTGACCAGAGAGATGCACAGAAAGAGAGGGAAAGTGAGAAAGGACGGTACCAGGTCCAGGACTGGTACTGTGATGGGCCCTCTAGGAATGTCCAGTGCCTTAACCACCGCACCACCTGCTGGTCCCCAAGAAGCATTGCAACTTCTGTTCTCACCCTTTTAGAACCCTGAGGCCGCCATGCCATGACCCAGCTAGCCTATCAGAGAATGTGTGGCCACATGGAGGGGACAACTGAGGCACCAGCCAACATCCATCAGAACTTCCAGATGTATGTGTGAGGCCGTCATGGACCTTCCAGCCCAGTCCGGCCATCTGCTGACTACAGCCTCAGGTGAGTACAATGGAACTGTCCAGGTTGCCATCCCACAGAACTGTGAAAAATGATAGCTGGCTGATGTCTCGATCCCCTGTATTTTGGAATGGTTTGTTATGCTGCAATGGGTAACTAGCTACCCAGGCGAAGAGCACATTTCCCAGTTTTCTTTGTGGCTGGTCTGGCCATGTGGCAAGCTAGGTCTGGCTAATGGGATGTGAGAAGAAGTGAGCGAGCAACTTTGGAGACAGGTTGTTTGGGAGGAGTGCCATCTCTTTCTCTTTAACATCTTCACCATCTTCCCACTGGTTGGAGCATGAATGTCGTGAAACGCTAATTGGGACCTCACAGATGAGGGCAACACGTGAGCATGCCAGAGCAAGACAGAGGATCTGCCATCTTAGCCCTGGTTCCATTTTCTGACACTGTTCATAGGAGTGAGAAATGAACATCTATCTTGTTGAGACATTGTTATTCTGAGCCCTGATACAGCAACTGCTCCTGTATTTTAACTAATATCATTACTCTCCCAAAGATTGTTTTCCTACTTGAACTGAACTAGGGGTAAAAATGCGAGGATTTCTTGATGGGGGTGTTGGCCAAACTCTTAGCATTTCAGTCCCTTCCCTCTGGCACTCATGCTATGGCTAGCACCGGAAATAGAGGGGCTTAGAGTGTTCCCTTCCAGCCACTCTGGGTTGATCCCAGGCTGCAGTTGTGTTTGCTCCGTGTGTAGAGCCTTCCTGATGAGGGCCACTTGGTTCCCAAGACTTAGCCTCAGCCTTTGAGAGCACCACGAAGAAGGTCCGCCCCTTTCTCCTTCCTCACCTGGTTGCAGAATGACAAAGGAGTTAACTATGACCTGTCTCCCCTGTAGATACATGAGCAAAGGTCTAGAAAGGACTTTTACTTCCCTCTCTGGAGAGATTTCTCAGATATGTGTATCCTGATGGTGTGGATTGCCCTTCTTCAGGGGAAAGCACATAGGCTTTGGTTTGAAAAATTCTCAGCTCTTACTTCAGATTTATTGAAGAGATTTCAAACTGGCAGCCACTGGGCCAATGTCAGTTCTTAGGTTTCATTGGGCCCACATGATCTTGTTTGTTTGTTTTCCAATTAGTTACTGACATTTTAAAACTGGAAGAGTTTTGGGGAACCAGCAGTTAGCGTAATGGCAATGTTGCTGGACTCCCACGTAGTCGACTGTGGTTCGCGTCCCGGACCTGGTGGCTTAAAACTCTGGCGAGCGCATGCGCCCTATAGCGAAAACCTCTCAAAAAAAAAAAAAAAAAAAAAACAAAACTGGAAGTTTTGAAAGACAGCCAGATTTAAGACTTTTCTTAAAAGATCAGAGATGTGAGACTAGCTAGACAGAGGCCACTGTTACGCAGAACATGGCTTCCCCTTTGCGCTAGTCTCCTGGCTCCAGATGCACCCAGCCCCTGCGGCCAGGGTCAGGGGATTCAAGGTGACCTTGCAGGGCCTCACTGCCTCTGCAGCTCACCTGCCCCTCTCTCCAACATCATATTTCGCCATGCTTAGGGTGACTAACTAGGACCGTTTTGACAGCGAAAGGCATTGTGATTAGTAATTACACCAGGTTTACACGTGGCCGGTCTGGGATAGGCCAGCATGGATCTGTGTTCCCCTACCCATCCTCCCTCTCACCTCTCACCTTTTGCCTATGCTATTCCCTGTGCCCCAAACTCACTTCCTTTTCTCCTTCACCAGACTCTTGCCCCAGTCTAGGTGTTATTTCCTCTAGAAACTCCAAATCCCCAGATGAGAGTTCTCCCTCTCATATGCCCTCACAGTAACCTGTGTTTCTTCCCCTGGAGGCCATATGCTACCCAAGGAGAGGAACCCCACTGCATCCCCGCATCCTGGGATACCATCGCGAATGCGTAACCAAAATGACTGCATGTATGTGCTGAGCAAATGAATGAATGAAAGTCATGAGTCTCCCCAGTTTCCTTTCTCTCTGTGCCCTCTACCAGGAGACCGTGCTCTCAAAAATCTGTTTCTCAGGCCAGCAGGTGGCGTAGTGGTTAGGGGTGCTGGGCTCCCACATGGTCGACTGTGGTTCGCATCCTGGACTTGGCGGCTTGCTTTCTCACTTTCTCTCTCTCTCTTTCTCTCCCTCTCTGGTCAAAT